TAATGCTGTCTTGGGTTTCCTGTAATCCTAATAATTACGTTGTTGGAGAACATACTGACCACATCTCCCCATGCTGTTGTCTTTACTCTCTCGACTCCGTGTTCAGATTTGCAACTAGTGCTGCTGCCATTCACCCTGTCATAACAACAACAACAAAACTGACTCACAAACTATCTGGTGTAGTCTTCATCAAATCTTTCATTTGCAGGTAAAGAGGGAAATAGTCAGTGTCACAGAAAGTCAAAACTTCAAAGAGTTTTAGTCTGTCTGTTCTGCGGCGTCAGTTCTGAGCTGATTTACTGAGTTACATCAGTTGTTTAAATAATCCCACAGATTGAGAGAGAAAAAAACTGCTACACTGAGGGTGATGACCATGCCACTGTACATAGATTGCTCCAACCTACATATTGCCCCAACATACATAGATTGCCTCAATCTACACATATTGCTCCAACCTACATAGATTGCCTCAATCTAAAAAGATTGCTCAAACCGACATAGATTGCCTCAATCTACACAGATTGCTCAAACCGACATAGATTGCCTCAATCTACACAGATTGCTCTAACCGACATAGATTGCCTCAATCTACACATATTGCTCTAACCTACATAGATTGCCTCAATCTAAACAGATTGCTCAAACTGACATAGATTGCCTCAATCTACACAGATTGCTACAACCTACATAGATTGCCCAATCAAAACATATTGCTTCAACCTAAATAGATTGCCTCAATCTAAACTGATTGCTCCAACCTACATAGATTGCCTCAATCTAAACAGATTGCTCAAACCGACATAGATTGCCTCAATCTATACAGATTGCTCCAACCTACATAGATTGCCCAATCGAAACACATTGCTTCAACCTAAATAAATTGCCTCAATCTAAACAGATTGCTCCAACCCACATAGATTGTCCCGATCAACACAAATGCTCCAACCTACATAGATTGCCTCAATCTACACAGATTGTTCCAACCTATATATTGCCCCAGTCTACATAGATTGCTCCAACCTACATAGATTGCCCCAATCTACACAGATTACGCCAACCTATATAAATTTCCCCAGTCTACACAGATTGCTTCAACCTACATAGATTGCTCCAATCTACACCATACCATACCATTTTATATATAGAGCACTTAAAACAGCTACAAGGCCAACCAAAGTGCTGTACAGACAGAACAACAGACAACACACAAAGCAATATACAAAATGAAGTAAATCAAAAATATAGACATAAAACGATGCAGATAATAAATATGACGACAAACCAGTGTGGAGCGTACAGGTTCAAAACACAGATCCCCTGGTGTTGTAAGCTACTGAATAGTAGTGAGTTTTTAAATGGGATTTGAAAACCGAGAGAGAGGGGGCCAGTCTGACAAGCAGAGGTAACTCGTTCCAAAGTCTTAGTCCTTAGTCTTGCCACAGAGAAGGCCCTGTCACCTCTGCGCTTAAGACGAGTCCCTGGAACTGTGAGGAGCAACTGGCCCGCTGACTTCAGGGAACGGGGTGGAACATACAGCTGTAGCAGATCAGAGAGAGGGGGGGGGGGGGGAACTGTTCAGTGATTTGTAGACATACAGGAGTATTTTGAACTGGATTCGAAGGTGAACCGGTAACCAGTGCAGGGAGGCTAAAACTGGTGTAATGTGCCCTCTTTTGCCTGTACTGGTTAAAAATCGGGCTGCTACATTCTGGACTAGTTGTAGTCGTGCAATGGAGGTCTGACTGATACCAAACAGGAGCGAATTGCAGTAATCAAGCCTAGATGTAATGAATGCATGTATTACTGTCTCCAGGTTATTTTTGGATAATATGGGCTTCAGTTTAGACAGCCGCCTCAGCTGGAAGAAACATGATTTAACAATCATGTTTACATGATTGTTAAGTTTCAGGGAAGGGTCCATTATCACTCCCAGATTAGTGACTGTTTTTCTGACATGGATAGAGTGGAAAGGTCGATGCAGTGGTTTGTGATCGTGTCACTGGGAGGGAAAAACATGACTTCAGACTTCTTTTCATTGAAACTTAAGAAGTTTAAAGCCATCCAGTCCCTGATGTCAGCCAGGCAGTCGAGCAGAGGTTGAATAGAGCATGTACCATTGTGTCTTAGGGGGAAGTAAATTAGACAGTCATTGGCGTAGAAGTGAAAGGGTATGTTGTGTTTCCAGAAAATAGCACCAAGTGGCAGCAGGTATAGAGAGAATAGGAGGGGACCCAGGATGGACCCCTGCGGAACCCCCCATTTAAGCTCTGTAGCTGCAGAACTAAAATCCTTGATGGAGACACAAAATGATCTGTCAGTGAAGTAGGATCTGAACCAATTGAGGGCTGACCCTGTGATGCCCACCCACTGCTTCAACCTAGCAATGAGGATCTCATGGTCGATGGTGTCAAAGGAGGCTGTGAGGTCCAATAGGACAAGCAGCACAGAATCACCGGTATCTGTGGATCTGAAGATGTCACTAAAAACCTTCAATAGGGCAGTTTCAGTGCTGTGGAGAGGTTTAAAGCCACATTGGAAAAGCTCTAAGATGGCGTGATCCTCCAGGAAGCACTTCAACTGGGACTCAACTATTTTCTTCAGTATTTTAAAAACAAATGGGAGTTTGGAGACAGGCCGGAAGTTGGAAACGACTGAGGGGTCAAGGTTTGGTTTTTTCAGGAGAGGCTGGACAGCAGCATGTTTAAAGGTTTTTGGCACCACACCAATGGATAAACTACTGTCTACTATAGCCAGAATGGACGGACCTAGAGTAGGAAAAACCTCCTAGTAGTCGAGGGGGGACCACATCAAAGGGGGAACCAGAAGGTTTCAAGCTGCACATGACCTGCTCTAGAGAAGATAGAGTGATGGGATCAAAATGGTCAAATGGAGCTACAGATTGAGGTGGGATGGATGAGTCATGAGTTGGAGGGGAAATGAGAGCCCGGGTGGTCGCAATTTTTTTTTAAAAGAAATGTAAGAAGTTGTCGCACAGCTCAGTCAAGGCTTCCAAAGGTGATGGTTCAGTGAGGTGGAGAACAGAGTTTAGGGAGGAGAAGAGGACACGTGGGTTGTGAGAGTTTCAGGTAATGATATCAGAAAAGTATTTGGGTTTAGCAGCTTTTACTGCTTTCTGATAACGATGCCAACTCTCTTTAAGTATTTGAAAAGAGACCTGCAGCCTGTCTTTCCTCCACTTGCGCTCCGCCCTCCTACATTGCTGCCTAACGGCCTTGGTGACGTCACTCAGCCAAGGTTCTGCTCTGAGTTTTGATTTTCTAGTTTTAACAGGCGCAACATGATCCAGAGTCTTTAAGCAGACAGAGTTGAACAGCTCCTCAGTGGTGGTGAGAAACACCGAGGGCTGAATGATCATTTCAGAGTTATAAGCATCTGTGAAATATGCGGCAGTGAAATGGTTAATGGTCCAGCTACTACGTGCAGGAATGCACGGCTTAGGATGGAGGAGGGTGAACTCAAACTGGACTGGCATGTGGTCTGAAAAAACATTATCACCAATTTCAAGATTACTAACGGTCACATCACGTGTTAAAACAAGGTCCAGTGTATGTCCACACTCTTGGGTGGGACCGTTTACATGCTGAGTTAGATTAAATGAGTCCAATAAATCTAAAAAGTCCTTAACCAAGGGCTTCTCCTGACAGCACACGTGCAAACTAAAGTGATTTTGGTGTGATTTCAGCCAAGAAATCAGAAAACTCATTTATGAAATCCTTAGACCGAGGTGGGCGGTAGACGAGCGCACATAACGTCCAAGGCGAATGGCCGAGTTCAAAGATGCTCAGCTCAAAGCTGGCGCGGGAAACTGGGATGGGCAGTTGTTTACAGTCAAAAGTTGGTTTGAATATTGTTAATAATCCACCACCGCGCCGGCCTAATGGCGCCGATACACAGATTGCCCCATTCTACACAAATTGATCCAACCTACATAGATTGTCCCACTCTACACAGATTGCTACAACCTACATAGATTGTCTCAATCTACACAAATGCTCCAACCTACATAGATTGCCCCAATCTACACAGATTGTTCTAATTTATATATTACCCCAGTCTTCATAGATTGCTCTAACCTACATAGATTGCCCCAATCTACACAGATTAAGCCAACCTATATAGATTGCCCCAGTCTTCACAGATTGCTTCAACCTACATAGATTGCTCCAATCTACACAGATTGCCCCAATCTACACAGATTGATCCAACCTACATAGATTGCCCAATCTACACAGATTGTCACTGAACTATTATCACACTTGGCATAATGCTGAACTTCACAATAACACGGTCAAATAAAGAATTATGAAGTGTACAGGAAAATAATCGTACATTACATAAACATTTCAAAGTATCAGGACGAAGATCAATAAACATTATATTTTCATCACAAACCCCATGTTTTTCTTTGTTTTCCCATAGAAGCTGCACCTGGACCAGCTATTTTGTGTCTGTCTGTGTCCGTTTCTGTCCTCTTGAACCCCTGTCAGTGGGAGCAGATGGTGGCCCATCCTGAGCCTGGTTCTGGTTCTGTTGGAGGTTTCTAGGAGAGACATTCCTTTCCACTGTTCTGTGCTGCTCAGGGTGAGAGATTACAAAAAAGTGAAGATTTGACACAATCTGCTGGATTCCTTAGCTACAGTATATAACTTTTACTAATCATCAGCTCGTAATACTTTGTGACTACATTATATTAAACTAGGAATTAATTGACTGTAACTGGATTTGAGTTGCAGGATTTAGCCTTGTCTTGTGCTCTGAGATTACTTTTGCTGTGAGTTTAATTAAACTAAATGATAAACATTTCATAAACACACTAGAGCTTACCTCTTTAATCTGTTGTTGCAGATCCGTGACCAGGTTGGCTTTATGAGTTCCAGGCCCGTGGCTGAAGTTAAGCACAGACGAAGCCCAGAAAACAGAAACGCTGGTTTCCTTCATGTTAGGCCACAAACAGCCTGCAGGTTGGCCAAGAAGAAGCTACAATGACAGTGACGTACTCTCGTAGAGTTGCTGATGCAGGTTTGGGGACTTTCTTTCACCTTCTTCTGCGATGGAAGGGCAGCATCTACAAACTGCTCTACAGAGAGTTCATCATCTTCACGCTGCTCTACTACATCCTCAGTGTTGTTTATAGGTAACCACTCGTTGAGTTCTAGTCTAATTTATTTTCTAACTAAAGAGAAAGGTGTTGATTTCATGCAAATGCCAATTAACTCTTGCAAACGAGTCCTCGAGGCTCAATGGGAACTAACCTGTATAAATAAAGGTTGAATGAAAATATTCATTCTAGTGTCTCTGGTGTGACAAAACAGATACAAACAGATCAGAGACGAGAAAGAGATGTTTAAATTTAATTAGAAAATGTGCTTTGAACCATGAAAATGAATTTTACAAAGTGTAATTTGCTCTTTGGGAATATAATAAGCTCAAATTTTAACTTTTAGCTCTGAAACTTTATGTAATTTTACTTTTTAAGCCTATACTAAACTAATTTATTGACATTATTGTTTTTGATTTGCTTACTGTAAACAGTCGCCATTTAAAGCTGCTTTGGTAGATCTGCAGTAGTCCTGCAGTTTCTGTATAATTGCTTAATGGTTTGGGTTCAAGTCCATTTAAGCATTTGAAGATCAATTAAAAAAAATTAATTTATAAAATTGGAAAAGTTTAGAATACCGAACTTAGTTAAAATATTACAGTGATGAAATCTGATTGGCTTTTGGTGTAAAACCTTCAAGACCCAATTGAGACTTTCCAATGGTTTGTTTGGTGAGTCTGTGACCAGACAGTAGCTCCATAAGACAAATGTGAGAAAATCAATGAGTTCAAGAACATCTTGCACAATGAAGTGTCAAACCTTTTCTAATAATTTTAAAACAATTTATGTTTGATCTAACGGTTTTGCAGATTTTATCAACATGGCTCTTAAAATTTAGCTGAACATCCAAAATTATTCCTAAATATTTTTCCTGTGATACTTGTTCAATAAAATCCCTGTTGATTCAAATAGGCAAGGACTGCGATAGAGCGTTATTTATTGAAAAGCAAATACATTTAGTTTTCATTGTATTAAGGGCTAATCAGGAGTCATTTAGCCATGCTAATATTTTCTGTAAGCGGTTGTTCAGTTTTTTACTGACTACAACACTGCTTTTACCCAACGCATGAATGATAGTGTTGTCAGCATACATTTGAAAATTAACTTTAGGATCAATTTTGGGAAGATTATTAATATACAGGATGAAAAGGATGGGACCAAAAATAGTTCCTTGAGGGATCCCTGTTTCAATTTTGAGAAAACAAGATTTACTATTGTTGATGACGGCACATTGTTCACATATCCCAATTATTACAATATTAGTATAGTTACTATTTTATAGTCTTTATTTGTTGCAATGGGCAGCACGGTGGCGCAACTGGTAGAGCTGCTGCCTCTCAGTGAGCAGGTCCCTGGTTCAAACCCCGGTCCAGGGGCCTTTCTGGGTGGAGTTTGCATGTTCTCTCCGTGCATGCGTGGGTTTTCTCCGGGTACTCCGGTTTCCTCCCACAGACCAAAAACATGCATGTTAGGCTGATTGGTAACTCTAAATTGTCCCTAGGTGTGAGTGAGAGAGTGAATGATTGTTTGTGTCTATGTGGCCCTGTGATGGACTTGCGACCTGTCCAGGGTGTACACCGCCCCTCGCACAGTGATTGCTGGACATGGGCACCAGCGACCCCTGTGACCCAAAATGGAATAAGCGGGTAAAGATAATGGATGGATGGATGGATTTGTTGCAATTTAAGAAGAGGGTGAGAGTTGGAACACAACTAATATTTTATTGTGTATTATTTCATCTTTTATGTAACCTGTAAAACTTCCAGTTATCATTAAGATACAACTTCTCTTCTTTCAGAAAGTCTGGCAACCGCTTTTGAACATAACTAAAGCTTTTTCATACTTAAAAATAATCCTTGACATGAATACAATTGTGTATGGGGGTGGGGGGGCAGTGGCGCAGAGGTTAGAGAAGGTGAGCCTGTGATCGGAAGGTTGCCAGTTTGGCTCCCCAGGCAGACAACATCAAAATGTGGATGGAAAAGGTGAAGCATCCACACTCGCCTCCACCCTCATTTGCCTCACCTTGGGCCCTTGAGCAAGGTTTTTAACCACCACCATCTGCTCCCCTGGGTGCCCTAGATAGCAGCTCTCTGCTCCACCCAAAGGGTCGTGGTGGCTCAGTGGTCTGTTGTTGTGTGGCGACCCCTGAAGAAGGGAGCAGCCCAAAGAAGAAGACTATACAACTGTGTATTGTGTCTAATAGTGGTCCCTTCAATCATTTTTAGAGTCTTGCAGAATAACAATGACAATATTTCACAGAAAAACATGTGACTAAAGCAGAAACCATTTTCAGTAAGGAGGTGGCGAGCCACAAATGGAAAACAAAAAATGTATCATAAATCTGCCTCAACCTGCTTGTCACAGACTTCACCTCAGCTCTTCTAAAATGTACATTTTTCCCACCAGACTTGTGTTAAACAGTGACCAGAAGAGGCTGTTTGAGAAACTGTCGATATATTGTGACCGCTACGCAGAGCTCATTCCTGTGTCGTTTGTGCTAGGTGAGTCAGCTGTGGCTGATTTCCTCCTTTAAAATGTGAACTTCAATAGGCTGAGCTCTTATCTTGTTGAACACTACAATTTAAATCTGTCAGTGTTTCCGTTTACCAGGTTTTTATGTGACCCTGGTTGTGTCTCGATGGTGGGGTCAGTTTGAGAATGTACCCTGGCCGGATCGTTTGGCGGTGTTGGTGGCAGGCCACGTTCGTGGAACTGATGAGGCCGCAAGGCTGACCCGAAGAACTCTGATGCGCTACGTCAACCTCTCTGGTGTACTTATCTACCGCTCTGTAAGCACAGCTGTCTACAAGAGGTTTCCCACCATGGAGCATCTGGTCCAGGCAGGTAGGCTGTGGTGACAAGACCAAATTCCACGCTCATGGTCCTGATAGTTTACACACAGGTTGTGTCTACTAGTTTTAAAGAAGTTATGAAGCAAGATCTCTTAAAGACCCATGACAGAGATTCAGAACTAATCTTTTAACTGAGACTGGAACAGTTTGGCTGCTTCCATCTCCACAGTGTGTTTATTTCTCTCAGGTTTGATGACCTCGGAAGAGCTGAGACATCTAGAGGATCTTCCCTCCCCGCATAATAAGTTCTGGGTGCCCTGCGTGTGGTTTGTCAACCTGGCTCTGAGAGCTCGGACCGAGGGGCGCATCAACAACGACGTGGCACTCACGGCCATTCTCGCTGTAGGTGTTTCATCTGCTTCTGTCTGCAGGACCGAAGAGCGGGGACTTGGCTTCTAAATGTTTTTCAATTGCTTGAACTTGTTCTTCATCGTTCAGGAGTTGAACAGTCTACGGGAGAAGTGTATGAAGCTGTACGGTTATGACTGGATCAGCCTGCCTCTCGTCTATACTCAGGTTATGGTCACACTTTGCCAGTTTGTCCCCAGAAATTTGAACAGTAGCAACCTGCCATTAGTTCTTTGAAACAGTGAACTAACTGAGAATAACTGTTTTAATCAGGTGGTAACAGTTGCAGTCTACAGCTTCTTCTTGGCTTGTCTGATTGGTCGTCAGTTCTTGGATCCAACTCAGGGTTATCCTGGTCATGATGTAGAGTTCTACCTACCAATTTTCACACTGCTGCAGTTTTTCTTCTATGTTGGTTGGCTTAAGGTGAAGCACGGCAGATAGATCATCCCATCTTTTGTCAGTTGTGCGGATTTAGATATGTTTTCTTCTTATGGTCTCAGGTGGCTGAGCAACTTATAAACCCTTTTGGTGAGGATGATGATGACTTTGAAACCAATTGGCTGGTGGATCGCAACTTGCAGGTGTGGATCTGTAACAAATTATTTGCCCTATATATATGTTTTGCCTATAAACATGTGACTTTTTTATGTTATATAGGTGTCGTTGCTGTCTGTGGATGAAATGTATGACAGCCTGCCACTGATTGAGAAGGACATGTACTGGAATGAGTTGGAACCAGAGCCTCCCTACACTCCTGCCAGTGCTGAACATCGTAAGCCATCCTTCATGGGCTCGGCACTGGATATCAGGTAAATCAATGCTTTGTTTCTGCAGGAAATCAAATGTTGTGCACTTGACATGTGGACAACCATTTTCTTGATCACCCTCAGCATTCCCAAGGAGGAGATGGAGTTTCAGTCCAACCTGGAGCAGATCAAAGAAAACGAAGAGGCCAACTATTCCACCCCGCTGCTTGGAGGGTTGGGTCGTCTCTTAGGTGTCCAGTCCCCTAACTTCTCTCGCTCGTCCAGGGTTGCTTTGCTGCGCCGCCGCCCTGGGGCCCCATTAAGTCGCTTCCCTCTTTACTTGCATCCCGGAGCACCGATCGCTTCAAATCAAACTTGCCAGCCTTTAAACCAAGAGCAAGATCCAGACTATTCCTTCTCTACAATGCCCTTGTATGAGAGACCAGGATTTTACAGCTGCCCACAAACACCCATCCACAGTGTGCCCCCTACGTTGCCTCGCCCTCGAAACACCCGGAGAACCCAATCTGAATGGGCTCGCAGCTGTAGCTCTATGGCCCCTCAAATGGTGGGCTCACAGTTGTTGCCTCCTAACACTCCTAACCTTCCACCTCCACCATCTTCAGCATTACCCTGGGTGAGTGGGAACAGCGAGATGCAGAGTGGTCTGGCATTCTCCTTCCCCGACCCACCACAACTTTGTCCAATATCTAAACTCAGACCAGGACACGGCCTCCTGTCTCGCCGCCCTCCTCACCTTCGCCTAACGTTGGAAGCCACACCCTCAGCGGATGGTCAGCCTGGACCCCCCAGTGCTCAGGCCAACGGAAGCGGAGGTGAAAGAGTGTTCTCATTTACTGCCCCCTCTCACACAGTGGTACTAAACCCCAGTAATCCCAACAGCAGCTCCAGTAGCATTAATGCAACAAGCACCAACAGTGCTGGCACAACAGGAAGTCTCTGTAATGGAATAAACCACAGTAATTTCAGTAACCATGGGAACTTCAGCTCAAATACATGGGTAAGCAATGGGGAAACAAATGGCGGGCTAAGCAACAACACAATTTCCACGTCATCACAGACGCAGCAAGAAACCAATCTGGAAAATTCATCCAATGATTCAGGGATCTCATTGGTTGAAGGGAACTTGCTGGATGTTCTGGTGGACAGTGGGGTGAAGAACTTTGCAGGAGAAAGAATGCAGGATTGAGAAAAAAAAAGGGTCTGACTGTAAAAAATATATTTGACATGGATGCATCTACCGTCATGCCCCACTGGTTTGAAAAATAATAATTCTGAAGACTTGAGTCTTTTGCATACATCTTATCTTTCTTTTGGAGCAAGAAGTGACCATTTCTGGACAAAATGTTAAGAACTTGAGAATTGTTTAACTTGACTGGCGAAAATTTTTTTTTAGATTTAATATTAGTTGTGGAATTATTATTTTTAAATAATCACTTGTACATAGATCAGAATGACATAACTGTCTAAAACACAAATGACGTGTACCAAAAACATATCTATTTAGCAATTACTTTTTAATAGAGCCTGAATCTTTCATATAATCTATTGGAAGTTCAAGTATCTTTATTATCCCTGAGGGGCAATTAGTTTCAGTCAGTAGATATAAAACATCCATACTACACAAGACATTAAAATTACAATATGGAAGTCAATGTTCATTGAGAAGCTTGATCCCTCCAGGGATGATTTTTTTCAGTCTGTTTGTCCTGCGTCCAGATGGAAGCAACATGAACTCACCATGGAGGGGATGATCAGGATCTGCCAGAATCAGCCTGGCCTTGTTCACTGACCTCGCCTTGTGCAGGTCAGTGAGGTTCTGCAGAGCTATGACAGCAGTTTTGCTGCACATCTTGACAATCCCTGAGAGTTTGTTCCTGTTTTTGCACGTTAACATTTCAAACCAACAGGTGAAGGTAAAAGTTAAGACTCAATAAAACATTCTCATAAAAGTCAAATCAACATTAAAACCAGAGCTTCCAATAAAAATACATTCTCTGGTATGCCTTCTGACAAAGTGAGTTCACATGGGGGTCAAAGGTCAGTTTGTCATCACGAACAGTTCCCAGATATTTATATGATGCACCACCTCAACAGCTTCACCGTTAATGACCACAGGAGCTGCAACTGAAGAGTCTTTTCTAAAATCAATGACCATCTTGTCTTAGAAACATTTAGCTTTAAAAAGGAACAAGTCTTTTCAACCGGACGTCCCAAAATTATTTCAAGTTCTCCATTAATCCACTTTTCCAGAATGAAGTCTCACAGAACTGACCTGCTTCTTGTGTAAATCCACCTCAAGAGCTTTAACTGGCACTACATGAAAGGATTTAAAGTTTACATCTAAAATGAGTGACAAGAAAAACTGGATCCTTTCTCTTTTTAACTCCTAAATGTCTGTTTGTGTATTATTGAATAAATCTCCATTGGCATGTTGTGCATCATTACACTGCTTTAATAAAAAATAAAATAGACATTGAAAATTAGTAACACACTTTATTTTTTTCATCAAACAAGAATACTAATTACACATTTTGACTGGTAAACAAAACAAATTGTAATAAATTAAGCAACTACAGAAAAAAACATCGGTAGGCATCAGAAAATGGCAAACACAGAAAACAACAAACAACTCTTAAATGTCATGTTTTAATGATATGCAATTCCTTTTCCTAATGTGTCTTTAATACGTTTTTGCTTTTTTTCATGTGAACATAGAGTACAAAACTTGAAAAAGGAAAACAGAGAAAAGTAACGGAATCTGTTGTGAAGTTTATCTGAAACTAAATAAACAGCAAAATAAATAAAAATTAACTCCTGGAAGTAAAATGTGTAAAATAAATAATAAAAGTGTGGTTTCTTTGGCTGTGTTTCAGTTTTTTTGTTGGTTTATAATTCGTGTAATCTTGTAATCTATGGCTAGAACGTGAAGGGAAGCAATTGTTCTTTTAAATGGTGACAAGGTGAAAGTGTCAACTATCTTACAGTCAGAAATAAACCACATTTTAAGATAAATGTTTCCCATGTTCTCTCCGTGCATACGTGGGTTTTCTCCAGGTACTCTGGTTTCCTCCCACAGACCAAAATGGACTGGAGACCTGTCCAGGGTGTCCCCCACCTCTTGCACAGTGACTGCTGGATATGGGCACCAGTGACCCCCATGACCCAAATAGGAAGAAGCGGGTAAAAGATAACGGATGATGTTTCCCTTGTAAAATAAAGCCAAATTATAAAACTGTGTTACCGTGGCACAGCCCAGTCTCAATAAAACTGATCCTGAAAGAGCAACACACCTAAACACTGACAGCACCAGTAAAATAAATATAAAAACATAATAGCTCTCTAAAAGCTTAGAATAAAAAAAAAATGCTCAGAAATCTTAGGAGATAAAACAACATTATTTATACGCATTAGGTGTTGCAGAAGTGGCCGATCAGCTGCAGCTCTAACTGCCCTCCTGGCCCATGGTGTGTTTGTCGAACAGGTACTCAGCCATGCCGTTCTGAGGCGCTCCCAGACGGCGCAGGTTTGAGATCCAGTCTGCCAGCTGTTTGATGGATTTCACCTGCTCGTCCAGGAAATGTGTGTCGATGAAGTCACACATCTGTAAATGGAAGAAACGCACAAAAAAAAGATTATTGCATTTTGCTGTGAGATCAAATTGAAAGAGTGTACAGCATGTCCTGGTGGTTTGCTCCTCACGTGAGGATCGTTGTGGTCAGCTGCCAGTTTCTGCAGCTCCAGCAGGGATTGGTTTACACTTTTCTCCAGCTGTAACGCACACTCCAGAGCCTCCAGGCTGCTCCCCCACTCATCTCTATCAGGTTTCTGGCATAAAAAAAATGTTCAAAAGTGTTATTTGCTTGCAAAAATAAACTTAAAATAGCCTGATAATCATTGAAGGAATGAATCCTGCCCAGTGCGATGTACGTTTTAATGCCAGGGTATTAAACTAAAATTATTTAATGTTGAAAAATGACAAAGTTGTAGCCATTTTGAAAATAATAATATATATCTAACACTTAAGAGGATGTGCAGTGAATGATCATGCTTAACTTTTAACGTCATGCCAGAAAGCCTCAGCTATAGCTATTTTTGTGTTGGCTAATGTGGATTAGTTGTGGCAAACATCTTGAACTGAACTGGCTTCAGTTGTAGACGTACATCTAACGATTACTTTCTAAAAGTTTCATAAATAAATGTGTGCTGGTTTATGAGATATTTAGGGAAAATATATAAAAAAAAACAAGGGAAATAACATTAAAGTCTGCCTTTGCTTCTTGAGGCACTGTCTGGACACACCTTGACGTCCTGGAGAAAGATCCTGCCTCCACGTTTGTTCTGCAGACTCATCAGCTTCTCTGCATGCTCACGCTCCTCTTTAGACTGTGCGCTAAAGAACTTGGCAAAATTTGGCAGGCATTTATCATCCCTGTCGAAATAGTAGGCCTAAATATAGAAACGGGAAAAACATGTTTACTTTCTTGTAAATTGATACGTGGCTTTGGTAAACTGGTGAAGATTCTCAGTCATCCAAGACATGATAAATAAAAAAAATTTAAATAAAAAAAAAAGTGGTTTTGGTAACAAAATGCTAATTTCCAAGCATCTCTTACCATGGACAGATAAACGTAGGAGGCATACAGCTCCAGGTTGATCTGTCTGTTCACTGCAGCCTCGCAGTCCTGGTGGAAGTTCTGTCGAATTAGTGAACTCATTTCTGTGTAAGAAAAACAAAAACAGTCAAGTGGACAATACTCTGCTGAAGGTTGAAATAAAAACAGGAAATTTAAAGTCACATTTGACACATTCAATAAAACTATAGGTTTAATTTGGTCAGATTGGTATCAGACGTTTTAAACATGTTACACTGTGACTAAATGGCTTCTTCTTTCTGGATTTTAATCTGGTCTTCACATATAAGACTAATGAAAGTGTGTTTATCAGTATCTGTGACGCACAGAGTAATCTCAAAAAGACATGTGTTTATCTGGCCTGCATGTAGACCATGACTGAGCAAAAACACAAGATAATATAAAAAATGTGCATGCATTTAGTTTAATTTTCTGACTATTTATAATCTAATAAACATGCTTTGATATTTTAGGATTTGTCCTTGTGACATATAATTATACAACAAAGTGGGTGAAAGTTAAATATCCTTTACACTTAACCATATAATTATAGGTACAATTTCTGAACTTCTCCGGGTTATAATAAAAAAAAAATACATAAAAAGTATTAAATTTTTAACGTGTATTTATTTTAAGATCATTTGCTGAAGATTTCCTGAACCGACTCCGCATTGATCCAAAAACAGCCTGCAGTGAAATAATTAAATTAGCACGAGACATTTTATTAATTTGCAAACTGCAACAGACAAAAATAAACAATGCTAATGTTGCGTGAACACATTAGCTAAAGCGCGTTTTCGATATTATTCTGAACAGATCGTCGACTAAATTTCTGATAATAAATTAAAAAGCTATCTGTAGAATCCTGCCCCTGGGATTAATAATCTAAAGAGAATCATACCTGCTTTGAGGAACAGCTACTCGTTTCTGAACTGTTAGCGACCTGTATCTCAAATGTCGGTTGACCCTGAACGTTACAGCTTGGTGCAAACGCGCGCACGGTTTGATGACGTCAGACAGTCGCCTCATTGCTAACGCTGCATTTACGGGACACGGAGAGCTCGGAAATTTTCTGTTGTGTTTACTTGTCATATGCAGGTTAACACAGGGTTAACAGTACAAAGGAATGCTTAGGATGAGAAGAACCGATTTGACTTGCTAAAAAAAAGAAAAATCAAAGGACAAACAAGAAATACTAAAAGCATGCAATTAGGGTACCCCCCCTCCCAAAAAAAAAGTACCAAAAAGTGAAAAAGTAATTATAATATTTACAATGTCCTAAAGAGAGATAATAGAAAACATAGTAAACAACAACATGGTAGAATATAATGGTGCACCAGGATGAATTTGAATTGAATAAGTATTTCAAGGTAGTAATTTAAAATGCACGATATACACACACACATATACAGGTCCTTCTCAAAAAATTAGCATATTGTGATAAAGGTCATTATTTTCCATAATGTAATGATAAAAATGAAACTTTCATATATTTCAGATTCATTGCACACCAACTGAAATATTTCAGGTCTTTAATTGTTTTAATACTGATGATTATGGCATACAGCTCATAAAACCCAAAATACCTGTCCCAAAAAATTAGCATATTTCATCCCACCAATGAAAGACAAGTGTTTTTAATACAAAAAACGCCAACCTTCAAATAATCATGTTCAGTTATGCACTCAATACTTGGTCGGGAATCCTTTTGCATGAATGACTGCTTCAATGCGGCGCGGCATGGAGGCAATCAGCCTGTGGCACTGCTGAGGTGTTATGGAGGCCCAGGATGCTTCGATAGCGGCCTTAAGCTCATCCAGAGTGTTGGGTCTTGCGTCTCTCAACTTTCTCTTCACAATATCCCACAGGTTCTCTATGGGGTTCAGGTCAGGAGAGTTGGCAGACCAATTGAGCACAGTAATACCATGGTCAGTAAACCATTGACCAGTGGTTTTGGCACTGTGAGCAGGTGCCAGGTCGTGCTGAAAAATGAAATCTTCATCTCCATAAAGCTTTTCAGCAGATGGAAGCATGACGTGCTCCAAAATCTCCTGATAGCTAGCTGCATTGACCCTGCCCTTGATAACACACAGTGGACCAACACCAGCAGCTGACATGACACCCCAAAGACTGTGGAAACTTGACACTGGAACTCAAGCAATGTGAATTCTGTGTCTCCTCTCTTCCTCCAGACTCTGGGACCTTGAATTCCAAAGGAAATGCAAAATTTACTGTAATCAGAGAACATAACTTTGGACCACTCAGCAGCAGTCCCAGGCGAGATGCTTCTGACGCAGTCTCTTGTTCAAAAGCGGCTTGACCTGGGGAATGCAGCACCTGTAGCCCATTTCCTGCACACGCCTGTGCACGGTGGCTCTGGATGTTTCTACTCCAGACTCAGTCCACTGCTTCCGCAGGTCCCCCAAGGTCTGGAATCGTCCCTTCTCCACAATCCTCCTCAGGGTCCGGTCACCTCTTCTCGTTGTGCAGTGTTTTCTGCCACACTTTTCCCTTCCCACAGACTTCCCACTGAGGTGCCTTGATACAGCACTCTGGGAACAGCCTATTCATTCAGCAATTTCTTTCTGTGTCTTACCCTCTTGCTTGAGGGTGTCAATGATGGCCTTCTGGACAGCAGTCAGGTCGGCAGTCTTACCCATGATTGTGGTTTTGAGTAATGAACAAGGCTGGGAGTTTTTAAAAGCCTCAGGAATCTTTTGCAGGTGTTTAGAGTTACGTCGTTGATTCAGATGGTTAGGTTAATAGTTTGTTTAGAGAACCTTTTCATGATATGCTAATTTTTTGGGACATGCATTTTGGGTTTTCATGAGCTGTATGCCATAATCATCAGTATTAAAACAATTAAAGACCTGAAATATTTCAGTTGGTGTGCAATGAATCTGAAATATATGAAAGTTTCATTTTTATCATTGCATTATGGAAAATAATGACCTTTATCACAATATGCTAATTTTTTGAGAAGGACCTGTATATACTGCACATAATCAACATATACCACACGGGTTGTGTGACAGGTTATTGCACAGGTAGTGACATTGATGTTGAATTATTAGTTAGTTATTGTCAGTTGTTCTGTTATTTATTGAGAGTTCAGTAATCTGACAGATTGTGGATAACAGCTGTCCTTTAGTCTTTTTGTACATGATGACAGATTCCTGTATCGTCTGCCTGAGGGTAGACGGAAGAGTCCTTGTGCTGGGTGGGTGTGGTCCTTAATGATGCTGTATGCTTTACGCAGACATCGGCTGTGATAGATGTCCTGGATGGTGTGGAGACTGCTACCAGTGATGTTCTCTGCTGTTTGCACCACACTCTGTAGAGCTTTCCAGCTCGGCTGGTGCAGTTCCCGTACCACCCTGTGGTGCAGCCTGTCAGCAGGCTCTCCATGGTGCACCTATAAAAGTTTGTGAGGATGATGGTGTCCGGACCAAACTTTAGTCTTCTTAGGAAGTAGTCTTTGTTGGGCTGTCTTGACCACAGTGTCTGTTTATAAAGTCCAGGACAAATCCTCTGTAATGAGGAACTTGAAGCTGCTGACCTGCTCCACCTCAACTTTGTTGATGGTGAAGTGCTGACCTCCATGCTGCTTCCTGAAGTCCACTATCAGCTCCTTTGATTTAATGACATTAAGAGATGTTATTTTCCTGACACCAGCTGGTCATCGATTTCACCTCGTCTCTGTAGGCACTCTCATTGTTGGTGATGAGGTCCAGGATGGTGTCATCAGCATACTTGAGGACGACAGAGCTGTGCTTGGTGGTACAGTCATGTGTAAATAGTGAGTACAGGAATGGACTGAAGCCGCAGCTCTGAGGTGTACTGGTGCTGAGGATTAGTGGAGGAGGTGGCAGCAGATTCTCACTGCCTGTGGTCTGTTGGTGAGGAGGTCCAGTATCCAGCAGCAGATGGACTTCTCCAGGCCCAGTGTGGTGAGCTTGGAGACCAGTTTGGAGGAGATTATGGTGTTGAATGCTGAGCTGTAGTCAATGAAGAGCATTATAACATAGGTGTTTTCCTTCTCCAGATGGCTGAGGGAGGTGTGAACTGCTAAAGCAATGGCCTCCCTTTCAAATGGTTTCACATTCAGCATTGAAAAAAAGCTTGAAGACTTTAGCAGGTTCATAAAACTAGCGAGTAGTACCAGTTTTATATTTCTTCATGAGCACAAAACGTTAGGGAGGGCAAATCGTTTATAGAGCTCAATAGTTGAAATATACATCGAGAGAAAATAAATGTCTACAGATGTGCCACAAATTAAAACTTTATTAATTCCATCTTCCTAACAAGCACCTTTTACATTTAAAATATGAAAACAGACAAAACACATCAGATGTGCAGTTGGTTTCACCCCCCACCATGACTGAGCACAGACACAACAGGAACTCACAGAACTTATGTCCTTCACAATAAGAGTATCCAATATAGAGCTCAGCTTTCACAATAAGTCTCAGACTGCATGTAGATCTGTTCACAAGATGACACCTCAACTCAGCAGCTTAACTCTACTTTTAACATAGAAGACATAAAAGTACAAAACACATACAAACATTACCAGTGTTGTTGTGCATACTGTTTTTTTTTGTCCTGCTATCAATACAAAATGAGACTACATATTGATTTCACTTTTCAAAATAAAACCAAAACAAGCATCCAAAAAAACCAAAAAACAAATTGAAGTTTATTTGAGTATAAAACAGAATCATTATAAAACAGAATCAGCCAGCATCTATATAAAAACATTACTTTGCTCCAGATGGAGGCGAGTGCCACACAGCAGAGCTGGTGCGTTTGAAATATCGAGGTTTGCTTTTATAAAAAATTTTCTCCAGTCTTAGTGGTTCTATATCTCCCAAACAAGAGTACAAATTTGGAGGATTGAAGTACTGCTTGACAAGGATCTGCTTCAGCTTTGGACCTGAAAGAGCAAACACATAATGGTTTGTTAATGGTTTACAGCTACTGAAGGTAACTTTCACATTGATGCTGAAGAAGCAGAAAAATGTCACAACAATGACAGACCGATGAGCATGACGACAAAAATTAAAGACAAGGAAAATGTCCACACTCCGGTTTCCTCCCACAGACCAAAAACATGCACGTGAGGCTGATTGGTAACTCTAAATTGTCCCTAGGTGTGAGTGAGAGAGTGAATGGTTGTTTGTCTCGTTTGTCTCTATGTGGCCCTGTGATGGACTTGCGACCCGTCCAGGGTGTACCCCGCCCCTCGCACAGTGATTGCTGGACATGGGCACCAGCGACCCCCGTGACCCAAAATGGAATAAACGGGTAAAGAAAATGGATGGATGGATGAAAATGTCCACAACACCAGACATGTGCACCTAAACAACTGGTCACACCCACACACACCTTCTGCCCAGGATGGGATCGGCTTCCTCGGGGCCGACTCATCATCTGTAGAGTCGTCACTGTTTTGGTCCATTCCGTAATCATCCAAGTCCTTGGAGGTTTTGATTACACCGTTCGGAGTGATGGCGTACTGTGGTGAGTGTGGCTGCGGGGAACACATTATGAAGTTGAACAGTGACAAAGTACTGGAGTCATTTAACTTGTTTTTTAGACAAAACCTGATGTGTGCCGTAAGTAATCGATGGAAACAAACCTTCAAATCCACAGTGACATTTAGACCACCACCTTTTCCTACAGGTGTGCTCAATACAGAGTTCTGGGAGGAAAAAAAAAACAAAACAGGAATAGAATACATTAAATCATCCGAAACTCGTTATGCATGAACACTTAGATATTTTAATATAATATTTGAAAGAGGTAAAACCTTTGGTCTAGTGTGCAGGTGTGTTAACATGGTAGTGACAAGAAAGTGTGCACAGCTGAAATTGATACTTACCTCCACGTTAAAAGTTGCATTTAAGTTTGAAGTCTTCATTCAAATTGAGAGAAAGAAAAGAAAGAAAGTTTAATTTAGAGGACGACATCCAAAAGTGCAGCAACAAGACAAATTCAAGTCAAAATATTTGTATATCTATGGCCTAGGGATTCATATTTGGTAGATGCTAACCAAACCTACTCTGTACAGTCATGGTGGGGGAGGAACAAAAGAACAACGACAAACCCCCCCCCCCCCCCAACCTTTTAAGATGTAAGGATTTACACATCAGGACAAAATATAACCAGCTCCTTGCCAGGGGCCAGTACTACAAAGTAGCGGTAGAATCAGCTAGTCGATTGTAGGACATCTGGCGAGTTTTTAAATTTCACGTCGACTAGTCGCAGCCAGTGACTGATGGCTACAAAACAGATTCTTCCAAGCAGACGGAAGGCGAAGAGCAGACCAAGTCTTGGCAAACAGGCAGAAATCCATCAACAGTGTATTTCACTAAAGATGACTCTTCTGGTTCAACTACTGGATCATGCAAAATCTGCAAAGCTGTGCCGAAGTACAACAAAAGTACGACCTCGATACACAGTCTTTTGAAAAGCCATCTCCAGTACAACCTGCACGCTCCAGTCAACCGTCAGTTACCTCCTGATGCCTCCTATGACAAATGGTAGGAGCATAAATATACGCCCCCCCGTGTTTTATTGTTCTTTTTTTTGGTTATCCTAATCTGCATAAGTGACGTTATTTCTGTGAAAATAGGTACTATGACGTCTTGAGTTCCTATGACGTCACAGCGGCTAGCCGACGTTGACTTTTATCATGAAAACATGAAGTTGTGCAACCCCTACTACAAAGCAGGACTAGTGTTTTGGTGCGGGCAACTTCATGCTCAGGGTTTTTAGTGCCAAAAAGCTTTTTACTTCTATATCTGCAGGTTTACTGCACATGTAGAAGAATATTGTTTTACTTACCGGTATTTATTTCTTTTGCCATGTGTTGTCATCATTGTATGTTCACATACAATGACCATGACCAAATTAGTTCTCTGCATATAACCCATCACACGTGAGGTACGCCCAGGAGGAGCAGTGGGCAGCTATAGGTGCCCAGGGAGCCATTTGGGATTAGGCGTCTTGCTCAAGAGCACCACAACATGTGGGCATGGCAGGGAGTTGAGCCTGCGACTATCTGGTCTCAAGTCACCTGCCATAGCGCTACACTATCTCGACTGCTTTATGTTACAGATTCATTCAACAATCAGCATTCACACTGCATTTTTACAGGAAATGCAACTGTTTTTAGTTTATTTTAAACATTAATGTTTTTTAATGTCCATGGTGAACCTTAAAACAGTGAATGAATTACTTTTAAGGCAGCTTAACTTTAACCACGCTGATGCTCTTCAGACGATTCATTTTTCTCTCTGGTAACTCACCAGTTTAGTTTCAGCTTCTTTCTGCTTCTCTTCTCTCTCTTTAAGAGCCTGCTCTTTAGCAGCCAGCCTCTGCTGCTCCTCCTGGTACAAACAAACAAACATTTTAAAAACCAGCACAAACACCCAGAGAGCTAAGCAGTTGTAGTGACAAATTCTGAGCTGCTGAGGATCCCCTTGTGTTAGGCAGATATGTACAAAGCCGTTTTAAAGATATGCAAATTTTCCTTCATTGCGCCAGTATTAAGATGATGTGACATGTTACCAATTGTATGCGTTTCATGACACCATAAACGTTATTTTATTGTTGAAGTAAAAACATGACAAATCACTTGTAAAAGCATCTTAGTTTCAAATATTGAATTTCTTACCAGTTTTCTTTTTTCCTCAAGCGCCTTTCTTTTTTCCTCCAAGTCCCTCATTTCTTTCTCTCTTGCTGCCTTTTCTAGTTCACGTTGTAAAGCAAGAGCCTTCTCCTTTTTCAGCCTCTCCCTATATAAAAAATAACAACAAAGAAACAGCAACTTGGTTTCATTCATTTGGCTGAAAACATAATAAAGACCATCCTTTAAAATAGACCACTAAAAATAGATGGTGTGGCAATTTTAATATAAAACCAATATACCATAATTTCCACCGTACACATCGCACCGCCCTATAAGTTGCATCAATTCAAATATGTCTAGTAAAGTGGAAAAATCCAGAAATATGTTGCATCTATTATGAGTCACCACTGATGCATCGCGTTTATTACACGTCACCACTGACAACCTGGAAATGTGGACTGGTGTTGTGCTAAAACTCGACTGGCTGCCAAACGGCGGCCGTGGGAGTGTGCACGGGAGGACTAACAGAATTTAACAAGATTTTAACACTTAAAAACAATTATTTGTTTTCTTGATATTATAGCAAAGATGTGTCCCTGTATAACTTTTCCTTAAATAAAGGAACTTTGATGGTCAAATCAGCTGCATTTCAAAACCCAATTCGCAGAAACATGAACGCGCAGAGGGCGACACGATGTCCATTTCTTCGAAATTTTAACAAAATAACCACATAAAACAATTATTTGTTTGCTCGACTTTACAGCAAAGGTGCGTCTCAGTCAAACTTTTACTTAATAAATGACTAACAGTCAAATCAGCTGCATTTCTCCAGGGCGGCGCAGTGAAATGAAGCTGATTTGACAGTTGCTCCAGACAGATGACAGTGGCAGTATATGGCAAGCCAATTGCTTCATTAATAGCCACTTGTACCTATTACATGATACAATGACATGCCATACACCTCGAGTACCACCTAGCGGGTGAAAATGGTAGTGTTCGATATTTTCAGTCAATGAATGAAAACGGTCATATCTCAAACAATAATTAGTTTATAAATATGGGGAAAATCCATAAATACGTTGCTTCAACATATACAAGTAACGTATAGTATATCTAAGTCGCAGGAAATGTAAATTATGCAAAAAAACGACTTATCGGCTGAAAAATACAGTAATTGAGGTGAAAAACCTCATCACTGTTCATCTCATTAGATTAAGCAGACGTGAGAACATTTTAGCAGAGATATGAGCTCATTGTGGTGATTAGTTATATTTCTACTGAGACCTTTCAGCAGCATCTTGTCGTTCTTGCTCCAGCTTTCGCTCCCTCTCACGCTCTTGCTCCATCTTTAGCTCCAGCTCTTTGCGAGCTTGTTCCTCCTCCTCCGCTTTCTTCTTAGCTGCCAGCTCCTGCTGTCGCTTCTCTTCCTCCTGAAGGTAAAAACAAACAAACATAAGAGAGCAATTCCAAAAGTAAATGATCCTCATCTTCTGTCACAGGGCAAACAAACCAGCACATGAAATAAAAGATGTCTTACAGCTTGCTGAATTTTCTTCTTTTTGGCCTCCTCTTCCAGCTTCCTCTTCTGCTCCAGCTCCTCCTGCCGCTTCAAGGCCAACTTCTTCTTCTCCTCTGCTAGACGCTGTGTACAGACAAAATCAAAGATTAAACCCAAACAATGTAAGGGTGGATTTAATTTCATAGCTATGAAAAATAGAAAGATACCTTTTCATTTTTCTCATCAATCTGAGCCATCTTTTGCTCAATCTTTTTTTTCTTTTCTACCTCCCTCTGCTCTTCTTTAACTTTGGCCTCAAACACCCTTCTTATCCTCTCATCTCTCTTCCTGAAATACACATTTTCAAAGTGAATAAAAAAAAAAAATTGCTCAAAATTAATCAACTGAAAGGAGTACAGGGTTATTTAACCTCTTAAGTTCTTCTTGTTTGCGTTTCTTCTCTTCCTCCATCTTCCTCATCCTTTCTTCTTCTTGCTCCTGCTTCTTCTTGAGCGCTTCCAACTTGTGACGCTCTTTTGTCTAAAAAACAGAAAACGAGGGAATAGGAGTTAATTTATATATATATATATATATATATATATATATACATACATACATACACACTTTTTATTCTGAAAACAAAGCAGGACACAATGTGACAAATACTAGAATATTTCAAACTGCATCAGTGAAGAAAAAACCATGGGGGGGGGGGGGGGGCAAACTAAAGAAATCAGATAAAAAAAAAATTATAATACTAAAAATCCTTAAATTAACTTGTCGTCATGTTACCTGCTGATGGATTTCAGTGGAGGATAGCTACATAATAAATTTAACAAGATTATTTCTCGCAAATAAAATAAATAAATACATCTATTTTTTTGTTTTTGGAATAAACTTAGTTTACATCAAATATACAAAAATATTAAATTATTGTTTCTGTCTGATAACAAGTTAGATGTTAGCAAACTCATCTACCATTTTCCTATACATCTATACATTTACAAAATAAACAGATTTAAAGAAATCGACACAAAGCCACGATCACACAGTGCAGCACCATATCAGTGTCCGAATACCAAGAGATGAAATTGCTTGAAGTCCACCTCCAGCAATTAATGATTATGGCACAATTATCATTATTACTGATTTTTGTCTTTTCCTCTTAATAACATTTATAACTTAATTTGACTAAAATAAATTTAATCATTTTTTTCTTAGTTATAGGTAGAAAGCCAGGACACTGCTGTAAGGAAGAACTGAATTCTCCAAAGTTTTACTTTTGGGTTAGATAAATACTTTTTAAACAAATATACAGTAGCTATAAGCTCAAATCAATTTATAATCAGGTGAACAATTTTAAAACTTGAATTTTACTGGAAATGGACTTCAAACAAATTTCAAGGTAAAAATAAATAAAACTTTACACCCGGAGTGAGTGAATTTGATTACCCTATCAATTGAGCTAAAGTTTATGGTTAAAGTATTTTTACTTTTGATAAATAATGCTGTAAGTCAAACAGAGACATTAGTAAAGCTGTGATTTGATGAATCTTAAAAACAAAAGACGTGTTGTGGACCAAACAAGCCTAAAGCAGCCCCTTCCACACATGGACCAACACTCATAATGGTTTTACTTTTTAATGGATAGTCTACCCCCTGCTGAATCACTAACTTATCATTGCAGAGGAGTTTGGGTGCCTGAATGATCCTAGGAGGTATGCTGCTGCTGGGGGGGGGGGGTGGGCGGTGGAGGAGAGAGGTTGCCCTGGGTAGGGTGAGCCCGGCCAGCCTGTGAAGGAAGCCTATTGAGACAGCTCGTCTCCGGTATCTTGTTTGTTCTGTCATGATTCAAACGTCACGACTAAAGGTGAGGAGTGTAACGAAGACACACTGGTAAATCAAAAACTTTGCCTTTCAACACAGCCATTTCTTCACCATGACAGACCGAAGCAATGCTCTCATTACTGAGGACGAGGCTCCATTTCATTGATCTATCTCCCGCTGCCTCATACTCAAGAACAAGGCACCCTGATGCTTTAATTCCTCCACCTGAGACAAAGTCTGGTGCTGATCCAGTGGCCATGGAAAACGGGACCATCTCTTTACCTTTACTAGGACCCTCGAGAGGACATGAGAGTTTGCCCAACCAATCTACCTGAGTTTTGTGGACTTGAGAATTCGACAGCGTTCCTCGAGGTACACTGCAGAGTGCTCAGGAGTATGTGACTGGGATTGGTTTTATGCTACAGGTCATTTAGTCCTTATGCAAGTGGTGGGAAAGTTTGTTTCAAATCGCTGGCAGTATCTCAGAACCCTTCAGAGTGGGAATTGGACTCCACTAGAGATGCCCATTGTCACAGATTCTGCTCATAACTTTTATTAGGATAATTTTTCGGTGTAGCCAAGGGGCGGAGGAAGTTCAGTTTAGTGTCCTGAAGATCCCAACCCTACTACTCGCAGATAGTGTGGTCCTGTTAGTGTCATCATGCTGTGATCTCCAGCTCTCAGAGCGGGTCGCAACAGTGTGAAGCGGCCTCAAATCTGAGGCCACGATCGTCAGTCGGAAAAAGGCGAATTGACCTCTCCGGGTTGGGAGCTGTGGAGTTCAAGAATCTTGGGGTTTTATTCACAAGTGAGAAAAGAATGGAGCAGGAGATTGCCAGACAAATTGGTGCAGTCTGCACTGCAGTATTGTGTCCTCTGTACCAGTCCATTGTGGTGAAGAGGGAGCAGAGCTGTAAGGCGAAGCTCACCGTTTACCAACCCTCACCTATGGCCACAAACACTGGATAGTGACAGAAAGAAAGAAGACTGTAGATACTGGAAGTCAAAATGAGTTTTCTAAATAGGATAGCTGGACTCTCCCTTAGAGATGAGAAATTCAGTTACCGGGTATTTGTGAGAGACCGAGTAGAGCCACTGCTCCTCCACATTGAGAGGAGCCAGTTGAGGTGGTTCGGGCATCTGGTAAGAATGCTCCTGGGTGCCTCCCTAGGGAGGTTTTCCCAGGCATGTCCGACTGGGAGGAAACCCCGGAGAAGACCCAAGACATGCTGGAGACTATAGGTTCCCACATACTCGAGCGGACCTCAGTCCATGTACTCACTGTCACACAATAAACTGCCCGGTGAATGACTGTTTTGTATGCGACACCAATGTATTAAAGTCCCCTTCTTCATCCATGGTCTGGTTTAATGGTCTTTTCTTTTGTTTTTTTCAAGAGGCAAGCGATATCTTCCTCCTTGTCCGTTGATGCCATGACTGAAATTGTGAAAAATTAAAGAATTTGTCACGAGAGAATTAAAATCAGGTCCGGTGTGGCTGCAGGAGGGTCTGGAGATTTCCTGGTGTGCTGGTGTGGGCTGCAGGACCAGCGCTCTCCGTTTTGTTTAAACAACTTTTTATTAACATATAAAAACAGAACACCGCTGCCGATTGCTGCCAGCTTTTTTTTTGTTGCCACCTGTCAATCCAGTAGGCGTGTCAGCAAATGACCAATCGGCAAACTCAATTTGTCCCAAAGGTAAACGCCCCTTGCCTACGGAGCTGACTGCAGCCGCTCAGGGGGGACACTCGAGTATGAAGTGTCAACCGTCTGCAGACAGTTTCCACTCACGATTCACCCAAGTCTGTCTCTCGGTTGGCCGGGGAATCCTCCCAGCAAAGCTGGAAGAGGTGGCTGTGGAAAGATGACTGGGCCTCCTTGATCAAGCTGCTGCCCCCAGAACAAGTGAAATAGATGGATGGGTAATTTACTTCCCGTTTATGATGTAAATCTGTAAATTTAGGTTTCAACTTATTAACACTTCTTCAAGCTGTTTCTTCAACTTTTACTGAACAGTCTTACAGAGTTTTCTATCTCTGACATGTGGCAGTGGGAAAGGGGCTTCCTTTGTGACAAGTGACGTTTAGTCCAGTCAAAAAATGAGGTTGAGAAACACCAGAAAAATCCTACAAACATCCAGAGCATCAACATTACACTCACCACTATGCCATTGTTGAACTAAAGATAGGGGAGAAAAAAAGATTTGCTAAATTTGATAACTACTGTAGAGGTGCACGAACTGCAGTTTTCCATGTCAGTTCAGATTGCTGTACAGTACTAATGTGCATATTATAACTTTGGCTGATTCGGGTTTGAAGAACTAGTTGACAGTTTCACATCCACCCTTATTTTCAGTTTGAATTGTAAATTTAGCAATTCATGATTACATGTACTGAACAAATGGTTTGTACTAATGACACCTAGCTGAAAACAAATTACAGAACAACTTATAAAAATATGGTTATACACACAGTAGTCCCTTGTTTATCACGGAGGTTCCCGTTCTCAGTCCACCCGCGATAAGTGGAAAACCGCAAAGTAGGAATAGTAGTACAAGTAGTTTATTTTAGTGTGTGTGTTTGCTTCTTTTTTTTTAAAGGCGTTTTAAACCCTTCCGACACTTGTAATATTAAACTCTAAAAGAGCACAGCATGTCATGACCTCTGCTCTCTACCAGCGCTCGGTCACGCCGACTTCTTCGCTGCAGAGCGGAGATCGACATGCAGCAAGACGGAGCTTCTCCCTGCACATGTGGGCTGTGCACAGGTGCTGAATAATTAAAAATTATTTATTTTAAATTAAAAAAATCCAGGCCGATCTTGCGGTTCATCCATCAATCAGCCAACTGTGTGTCATGTCCAATCTTACTTTGAAAAATTGTGAACGAGCGAGTCAGCAAATCGAACCGCGAAGTAACGAGGGACTACTGTACAGTGTATTTTGAGTGACTTGCTTAAACTCAAAACAAAACTGCCTCAGACAATAAAAAAAGAAGAGTTTTAAAGTGAAATCAAAAATTACATTTAAAAACAGTCTTAAAACGTCTAAGTGGATCTCAACTATCATCTGTGTATCTCTTAACACACATCTGTTTTTTAGGAAAGCGATACATTTTTAATAAGGTCTAATAATGAAAGTGGAACACACTGCTCTTTTTTTTTTTTTAACAAGTGTGTAACTTACTTTATGATCAACTTTCACAGGAGTGGTGTGTTTGATGAAAGACCTAATGACACCGGCTCGGCCAGAGGAGTTTGGAGTCATCATGAGCATCTGATTCTTTTGCACAGTGTGAAGGAAAGATCTCATGTTGGGCTTGATCGTCTATGAAATAAAAATTAAAAAAGCTTCAAACATTTCTTTAATGAGAAAACTACTTAAATATTTCAGTAATCTGCACCAGAAGCAAAGTTCTACTCTCCATCTTACACTTTGACTTTTCTTGGGGGGTGAGAACCGCTTTGAAGGACTGTTTTCTACAGTATCTGGTGCTTTACGTTTAGTACTGCGGCTTGACCTGAAAACAGAAGAACACCCGTACGGTTAAAAGACGCACCAATAAACCATTCTACACTGAAAATAAAATACCCATATGTCTCTTCTTTCTTTGCCAGAACAACCAACCCCTAAATGTCTGAGCGATAGGAAATATGTAAAAACATTTAAAAAAGGAGGGCACAGACCTTCGGACAGTTTGCCGTTTCTCAGCTACGACCAAAGACAAAAGCAAATATGTAATTAGCTCACAGAAGTTACATTTGGATTCAAAGAAAAGGACCAAGAAATACTGGGTGAAAACAAAAGAAAGATGAATAAAGCTTTCCATACCTGCCGATTTAACTGGAGTGCTCACTTTTAGCTCAGGGCTAAACAATGAAGGGGGGGCCAGTTTGGGAGAGTTGGCAGCCACAGAGCGAGTGATGCGTTCAAAATATGGAACAGCATGCTGATTTGTTTGAAGCATCTTTGAATAAAAAATAAAAATAAAAAAAGAATATATATTAATAACTAAACAAATAACCTCAAATAAATAGTTCAATTGCAATAAAAAAGCTGTACCTGTGAATTTTCCTTTGATGTTTTAGGAGGGCTGTTATCCACCAGGTCTGCAGGTGAAACCTCAGGTATGCTATGGTAGGAAATACATAAACAAATAAATGTGAAAATGTTTTTTTTTGGGTATTAAAATATTATTGCTAACTTTTAAAACTTGAATGACTGGATGTAACCTATGTCAAAACATTCACACAGCCAAAAAAAACAAAACAAACTAAAATTACGGTATATATATATATATATAAAAAAGGACTGTCTACTTTCCAGTTTCTCTTAAATGAAAGCATAAAGGTGACCAGAAATTTGCAACTTTGGCCTCAGTTGTCCTGATGCATGCTCAATAATCCAGGTAGAAAAATCTAACAAGGTTAAGTCAGGTCATCTGGACAGATTCTTCTTTGTTCAAATGTTTAGTCTTTTATCCAAAAGACTTCAGTCTGAAACCCTGAAAGAAAACTCTGTCAGCTCCTTGTCATGGTGGAATCAGTCTGCTGCTGACAGCCAGAAATAGCTGTTCACATGCAAAAGAAGGACCATCAGCCCAACAACTGATCATCAGTGCCCTGATGGCTGCTTGCTATTCACAGAGGGCTGAGTGATGCTAACAACAACAGCATTGTAAGAGTGGAAGTTGAACACGGAGAACGCCCCTATTAAAGATGGACTGTTTCTCTTCACAAAGATGGCTTCCCTTTACTCCTCTCTCAAACCATCGTTTCTATCCAGGATGTGAACACCTTCATCCCTGAAAGAGTGACCTTTGACCTGCAGATGCGTGTAGACCGCTGAGTCCTGGCCTGATGATGCTACTCTTCTGTGCTGGTCCATCCTTTTGGCCAGTGGCTGTTCAGTTTCCCCGATGTAAGACTGATCACCCTCCTGACACTGAACAACATACACAACATTACTCTGTTTGTGCCGGGGACTGGATCTTTGGGATGAACCAGTCTTTGCCGTAATGTATTTTGGGGTTTAAAAGCCACTGGGACGTTATGTTTAGAAAATAAACGTCTCAGTTTCTCTGATACTCCCTCAACATATGGAATGACCACTGGTCTGGGTCTGGGTTCCTCCTTTTCACCTGATGGCTGACTGGAGTCCTGTTTGGGTTTCTTCTCTGCTTTCAGGAAGGCCCAGTTAGGATATCCACATTGCTCTAGAGCCTGTCTTGTGTGGGATTTCTCCTTCTGCCTGGCTCCTGAGTTAGTGGGGACGCTGTCTGCTCTGTGGTACAGAGTCCTGATGACTCCTAACTTGTGCTCCAGAGGGTGATGGGAGTCAAACCGAACGGTTTCAACGAACGGAGTCAGGGTTTGACTCCGTTCACCTGCTGGAACACGAGTTGTGCTACTTGTGTAGCTTGAGTTCTTTCTCACTAACGTGATATTTCTCCTTCAAGGTATTCTCCATAACACCATCAGATGGACTCTTCAAATCTTAGGGCAAAATCTTGGAATATGTGGCAGACAGCTACATTGTTCAAACGTTGACGTAGCACTAAGATAGCAGTGTGCAATACAGACGTGCTAGCTAAGATGCTACAGACGTAGCTCTCCGGATCTAGATGATTCACATAAAATGACATATTTTGTTTGAAATCTGCGATTTTCACTAAAAAGTGACAAGTTTGCACGTTTGATTTTTTTTAGTTGATCTAGAAAACATTGTGATGAAGTGGTTTTAAACATGTTATATATAGATAAATTTGACAACAAGACAACAATACACCATATGAAAGCAAAATAGTTCTACTCACACTTTTCCATCCTCCTCATCTACAGTATCCATGGAAGAGTCCTCAGCTATACAAAAATGGAACCAAAAAATGAGATAGAAGTATAAGATACAAGAATGAAAATTTACACTTCTTCATAAAGTAACCAAACATTTAATATCTTACCAGTGACACTGCTGGTGCATGAAGAGTTGCTCTTGCGAGCCGTCTTCCTCTTCTTGAGCATTGAGCGGCGTGAAGAACGGCGAACAGCTTCTTGTGTCATGCTGTGCCGAATACCAGCCAGTGAGTAACGAAGCTTGAGCGAGCACCGCCCTGAGTTTTTAGCCTTTTCAGCTATTGCAATCTTTGTAGCTGCACGGCCTGTAGAGGCCACTGCCTCCTTGGCGAACTCAGCAGACAAGCGCTCCTCAGCTGAGATCCTGACAGCTACCTCAGGTGAAGGTATCTTAGGGGGAGACTGGGAGGTGCTATTAACACAATTTGGTTTGATATCGGAAACATTCTGATTTTCCTCCGTTTGCTCTTTTTTCAGCACTTCTTCTGTTTCACTGCTATCACATGGCAACTGGCCGTCACTGTCTGCCACCTCGGGCTGCGTTTGTTTATTTTTACGGGTTGTGCGTTTCGGCCTCGACTCACAACTGGCTGCAGAAGTCGACGCCTCAGGGATGGCTTCCTCTTTAGCAATAAAATTTATTGGTTTCACAACAGAGCCACGAAGGTTACTGCGCCTTCCTTTGGATAATCTGGAAAATAAAGACTTGTTACTAAGTTGTAAAGACAACAAGCTTTAAATGACATTTACTTGGGCGTTTATTAAAGCAACAAACCTGCTTGCTTGACTTTCCTCCTGGCGCCCTGTGGATATGCGCTTCCGGCGACTTTTCGTCCTCTGTGATGGTGTTTTTGGCATTAATTCTGGTTCTGTATTAAAGTCTCTGAAATTAAATAAAAGAAACATTTGTGTTAGAAAAGAAAAACAAATGAAAGGATACTCAGTAAACCCTTCAACATCAAGTCGAACATACCTTGAGAACATGCGGTTTGCTTCTTGCTGGATTTCTTCAAGCCAAACGATGTGAACGTTATCAATCTCACTGATAAACTCCTGCATTTTCCCGTTAAACATCTCCATGAGGGAGTGCACTGATGAGAACACTGAGGCCATGACGGCAGCCTGAGGAAAAATGAGGAAATCATCATCAAAACAAGCTGAAAACAGACTTCACAAGTAAAATGAGGAGCTGGTATCTTATCTTTAAAGGCATCGCTTTAAATTTGATTTACATTTTGCTACTATGGCTTGCTTTATTTGTTGTTTTGAGTTATGCTTATTTTTCCATTTGTTTTATTTATGTTTTAGCTTTGCATACACATTTTTTGTCATGTTAGTTGTATAACTGGGTTCTTTCCTTTTAAGATGCACTACATATAAGTTCTGTTTTCTCCATTAGGAAACAGAACATTTGAACTTTGAACCCAAAGTAAAAAAAAGTTTATTTACACTGTACAAAAGCATTTCATTGTACTGTTAACCTTGTGTTAACCTTGCATAGGACAAATAAACACAACTTACAATAGTTTCCATGTGCATTCCCATTGTCAAAAGCTAATTGTAGCTCCTCTTAAAATATTTGAATCATTTTATGAAGGAAGTGACCAATTTTAGTTTTAAAACTAACTGCGGTGGTGTAAATACATTGCTTTTTGAAAAAAATAAAAAAGCTTTTTGAGTGGTATTTGCAATCTCGAATATAATTTTCAGTAATTACTTCTTAACAATGTCTTGGACAGTGGTCGTGTTTAATATTTATAAATACCAACACCGCAGTTTTCCAACCTTGTAGCTAACAAAGTGAGCAACGTTAAGCAGCAGGCCAACGAGCGACGGGCTAGCACGATGGCTAAGCTTAGCAATAACAAAATATCAAAAATAATTTGTCAAAACACACAACAGAAAACAACCAGTGTTACAATACATGTTTAAAACACACAACAAAAACTTTAAACTGAGGAAAGCTGGAACTAACGCTTTTATTTTTAGCTTCCTCCAAAGCCTGGAAAGTTAACTTACGCTAACGTTAACCATCAGAGCTAACAAGCGAAAATAATTACCTTTGATATCCGATTTTCTGCAAAGAAATCACAATTACTTCAATATTTTCTACTCCTAAAATAATTGCATACTTGCCAAAAAAAAAAAAAGCCTAACGTATAATAGCTCGTTTCTTATGTGAATAGTTTTCTGAAACGACTGGCAGTAACCCGCTGAAACGGTTTAAATGAATAGTTCAAACCTCGTCCTCAGGAGCCAATCGTCAAACGCTACTGCTTTTTGAGCGATTTGATTTAAAAACCGTTTTATCCCGGAGAGGCGAAATTCACCTTGCAGACAGTTGAAAAGTGCGGGGAGCGGAAACTGACAGCACGAGAAACAAAATCGAACACACCCAACAAATGTTTAGGGCGGAGTCAGTTTCAAACGCACCAATCAACGCATGGACACAGTCATCCGGTTCCGTCTACGACGCTTATTTATGTATTTATTTTGACTAGTACGACGTGTTGAGACAAGCGATGCCAACAACGCCAATTTTTTGATTAAAAAAAAAAATATATATATAAAAGGAACCGTGCAGCTGTGAATGTTTGACGTGGGTTCAGTCCGCATCAGGGGAAGTTATTTCCCAAAGAAAATGTCTCATTTGTAGTCAACATTCTTTGATTTTTCTACATTATAAAATACAGTAGTTTACTGCATTTCGTTTCGTTTTCCCGGCAAGAAATTGCCACCGAAACGAATCTCCATACCCCTTTATCGCATTGTAATTTTATAACAAGCTTGTCTTTTTTTGTTTTTTGTCCCTGGGGGGTGGTAGTGACGAAGGGAGTAATTATCATTGCAGATAAACTTCTGTTCCCTTTTATTCATTCAACCTTTATTTATATAGGTTAGTCTCACTGAGTCCCCAGGACTTGTAAACAAAACAGTCAAGGTGACTTATAAAGAAGGTGAAATTTATTTATTTACTTATTTGTTTCGAACAGACAATAAAAAGTAAATCTGATCTGAAGCTCTCGACCTTGACCTCTGGCTTTAAGAATCTGTTGGACTCCTGGCAAAAACCAATGCAGACATGTTCCTGTTTTTAGTTTTCTACATTTACCTTATAATCCAGCAGTTTTTGCTACTTTTCTTGCCATCTTATTTTAATAAAAAAAAAAAGAAATCTGTATGCCTTTTTATAATTGTCTATTGTTGTTGCTGTTGTCCATTGTTGTCATCATTCTTTGTTGAAATCAGGTCTCTCTTGGAAATGAGTCCTCAAGGCTCAATGGGATTAACCTGTCTAAATAAAGGTTGAATGAAAAAAAAAAAAAGAAAAATTAAATAATAATAACAGTCATGCCAACTGACAAGCTATTTTACAAAACTTGTTCGAAAAGGAGCAGGCCGAACAATTTTATGATTTTCTGCCCCTGTCATACACATCAATATACAATAATTTTAGTCTTCCCACACCAAATAAACCTTATAAATCCACATTAAATGACGCTTAAACCTCACCATCGTTGAATGTACAATTATTTACACATTATTAATATCAACAATAGCGTTTTTGGTCTTTGAGACACCCATCCTACATATTTTTCAATAACCTCATTTTATTCTGTTTTTTAAGCTGGCTTATATTTGTACTTTGTTTGAGCTCATCATTTAATCCATTCCATTGATCTGCCCCATACACTAATATACAAAAACACTTATTCGTTGTTTTGATATCCATCCATCCATTATCTTTTACCCGATTCTTCCATTTTGGGTCATGAGGGTTGCCAGTGCCCATGTCCAGCAATCACTGTGCGAGGGGCGGGGGACACCCTGGACAGGTCTCCAGTCCATCAGGCCACATTCATAGAGACAAATGAGACAAACAACCATTCACTCACACCTAGGGACAATTTAGAGTTACCAACCAGTCTAGCATGCACATTTTTGGTCTGTGGGAGGAAACTGGAGTACCTGGAGAAAACCCACGCATGCATGGAGAGAACATGCAAACTCCACCCAGAAAGGCCCCCGGACCTGGATTTGAGCCGGGGACCTGCTCGCTGAGAGGCAGCAGCTCTACCAGTTGCTTCACCGTGCTGCCTGTTATATATTGTTTAAAAAATAAATAAATAAAAACTATTTAAAAAAAAACACTAAAAACTAGACCATTTACTTTGATTTTTCTAAAGACCTTATCAGTTGTTTAAAATCCCTTAAAGAGATCAAAGTCATCAACTTCAGATCCTTTTGCAAGGTGTTCCAGGGTACAGGAGCAGAGTAAGAGAAGGCTTTGTTGCTGAGTTCAGTTTGCACTGAGGGAACCATGCAGGCAATAATGGCCTGAGGGCGCACGCTGTAACTGCACTGACGACATGATATGTAGGAGATATATGAAGGAAACAGACCAAGAGTAATGGATGGAACATGTACCAGTGTGAGAGTCTGCATGAAGTTAATGATGACCAGTACAGTACAGAGTGCAGTGATGGGTATGGTAGTTACAACCAGTTATGAATCTTAGTGTGATGTGATTGATAGCATCAAACATCTGCTGGCAGGGGCGTTCATGTAATGTCACCATGGCTAGTAGGAAAGTAACAACTACAAGGCATTTCCTGGCATTCAGAGTTAAACAAGATCTATTTCTGAAAAAGAAACCCAGTTTTAATTTCAGCTTCTTTGTCAAGTTTTTGACATGCAGCTTAACATCTGGAAATAAATAATCTGTTTGAAGAGTTTCAGTCAGGGTTTAGAGCTCACCACAGCACTGAATCTGCACTGGTGAAAGTTACTAATGATATTCTCATGGCCTCTGACAATGGACTTGTGTCTATACTGGTCCTGTTAGACCTCAGTGCTGCATTTGATACAGTTGATCATAATATTCTACTAGGGACTTGAATATGATGTTAGGATTAACAACTACATTGGTTTAAATCATATTTATCTGATAGATTCCAACTTGTAAATGTAAATAATGAATCTTCATCATACACTAAGGGAGTTTTTTCTTTCCACTGTTGCCACTGTGCTTGCTCAGGATGGGAGACTGCAACGAAGCCAAGATTCAACTTGTCTGCTCGATTTCTTAGATAGAGAACTTTACTAATTGGCTTTTATGTATGTGAATGTTCCTGTAAAGTGCCCTGAGACAACTTTGTTGTGATTTGGCGCTATATAAATAAACTGAACTGAACTAATGGAGTTCCTCAGGGTTCAGTGCTTGGACCAATACTCTTTACCTTATATGCTTTCATTAGGTAAAGTTATTAAACAGCATGGGATAAATTTTCATTGCTGTGCTGATGATACACAGTTACTGGATATTTGTCTATGAAACCCGATGAATCCAATCAGTTACTTAGATTTCAAGGATTCAAGGGTCTTAATTTGTCATTCGCACCCCATGTGGTACATGTGGTGGAACAAAATTGTGTACACAGGATCCCAGTTACATCCAACATTAAAATGTAAAAGAAAAACAGTAATAAGATCTAAGATATGAACTAAGAAAAAAACATCAACTAAATATACACTAAGCACTATAGCATAAAAACATTACGTCGAACAGCAGCACGAACATGAGTCTGAGTGAGCAGATGAGCACGCATGAGCACAGCAACATGAAACAGATCAGCAGCAACATGAAACAGATCAGCAGCAACATGATGTGATTTTTCACAGTGATTATTCTGGTTAGAGATTCATGAGTCTAACAGCCTCAGGGTAGAAGCTGTTCCTCAGTCTAGTGCTTCTACACTTAATGCTCCTCAACCTCCTTCCTGAAGGGAGCAGGGCAAAAATTGTGTGCTGGGTGAGTGGTGTCCTTCATGATGCAGGTGGCTCTCTTCCTGCATCTGGAGGTGTAGATGTCTGTGATGGTGGAGACTGACTCCAACAGTCTTCCGCGCAGCCTTCACCACTCCCTGCAAAGCTTTTCTTTCTGCAGCTGTGCAGCCTCCACAAGCATGTCTTAAAGACATAAAAACCTGGACGACCCTTGATTTTCTGTTTTTAAACTCATACAAAACTGAGGGTTTGAGTGGAGGACCCAGGTCTGATGGCCAGGCGGGTCCCACAAAACTGTGCCTTCTTCTCTTTATCCCGTTGTGCGGTTCTATCCGCTTCTTGGGCCAGAAACTTGAAAAAAGTGATCATTTTCCTGCTGGGTTCAGAATGGTCTCTGGATTCTGTCGGTATCTGCCAGCTGATGTGTTGAACCCACGTGCAGGAAGATGACAGCAGACTCGGGATAAAACGTTTAACAAATATTTATTCATAAAAAACAAACAAAACGCTGGCAGGGCAGCTTACTCACTATGACCGGTGGACAGGACGGGAGGCAGAACACGACAAGTGACAAGACACAAGGGAGCTGAACATATACATACTGATTAGGACAAACAACGGGCACCTGCGGTGATTAACAATGGACACAGGTGAGACTAGGGCTGAACACAAGGAGGAACATGAGGGGTGAAGGAGAACATAAGGAAACAGAGAAAGACAGGACAAAACCCAGAACCCCTACACAGCTTGAATCATTAACATACATATTTTTTGTAATGATAAAAATGTAAACTTATTCTAGTTAAACCTCAAAATATAATTATGAACTACAACACTTTTTTATTTTAATTCTTCACTGGCCTATCAACCAGAAATGGAATCGAAAAACATAGAAAGACAGAATTTACTTTTTGTTTGTGCTTAATTTTTTTTATTAAACCAAACTTGTCTCACAGTTTCTAAATCAAGCTGTACATCACCATGTGCGTTATTAGCAGGCACAGTAAACACGTTAACGTAAATTGACCTTGCACCTACTGAAACAGAAGAAGTCAACATTTGTTCATAAATATACAACTTAACTGTATTTTTGTAGACAAAGTAAAATTGTGAAATGGAAAACTCAATCTGGATCCTGGTTCAAAGAGGCCAGCAGGAAGACGTGGACTCCATTTTCCGAACACAGCCGGGCTCTCGGGGAAAAGTTACCGGCTGCCCTGAAATGACAGAAGGGAAGAACAATTCAAATCAGTTTAATAATTTGGAAATCTTCATTAGAGCTTTAATTAACTGATGATGTAATTGTGATAAAGTCTGAATCCTTTGACAAAACATAGTTCGTACCACACGACACAAACATCGCTATGAATGCCTGCCACTAGTGAAATACCTGGTGTAAGAGGGATTTTAACTCCAGACGTCTTCAAGACAACTTCTAATTTAAAGGATTTAGTGTTTTGAGCACATCTTCCCTTTTCCCTGACTATGATGCAGACTTCTTCCTTCCTGAGCAGCCAGTCCATCTGACTGCCAAGGTAGTTAACGCCACGAACACAAAGCTCACAGATGTCATCAGGAAGCAGTGGGGAAAAGGCCAGGCATCCCTTCTGAACTCTAAATAATAATAAAAAAATAAATAAAGATTGTAAACAACTACATACGAGCTCAGAGCTGTACGCATTTGAACCGTTTTTGCTCTGAACATGATGGGAGGGTTGAGAAAAGACCTGAAACCGGTGTAACCGAACAGCACAGCTTGCAGAAATCCTCCCATGCCTGTGAGAAAGTTCACAGCTCCAGAGCCGTCTGATGATTCACTCCAAACCTGCACGGGGCGGCAATGACACGTTCACTGAACAAATGATGAGAGCAGGAGGACACGTGAGACTCAGAGATACCTGGAACGGCCCTTGGATGTTCTCGAAGCACTTTTCAAGTAAATGCTGAGATTTTTCAGCTTCTCCTAACTCCAGCCAACCGATTGCAAACATTCCCTGAGCATAAAAAAAAGGAAAAAAAGATTAGTGTCTGCAAATGATCATATCATAATTTGTACATTTGGAGTATCTGTGCATAAAGAATCCAGATTTTTCACGCCATGAAACATTTGATAAATTAGTAAATAGCTTCCATTTTAAAAAGGCCACACACTAATATTTTGTTGGACCGCCTTTAGCTTTGATTACATCATGCATTCTCTGTGTCATTGTTTCAATAAACTTCTGCAATGTCACAAGATCTATTTCCATCCAGTGTTGCATTAATTTTTCACCAAGAACTTGCACTGATGGGTGCATCACTTCACCTGCCTCTCTTCTTACCCTGATGCGCCCATCACAACAGGGCAAATCTGGACTCATCAGACCACATGACCTTCTTCCATTGCTCCACAGTCCAATCTTTATGCTCCCTAGCAAATTGAAGCCTTTTTTTCCCAGTTAGCCTCACTGGTTAGTGCTTTTCTTCAGGCTACACAGCTGTTCAGTCCCAACCCCTTGAGTTCCCTTCACATTGTGTGTGTGGAAATGCTCTTACTTTCACTATTAAACATGGCCCTGAGTGCTACTGTTGGGTTTAAAAAAAAAATTGATTTCACCAAACGTTTAAGTGATAGACGATCATGATCATTCAAGATTTTTTTCCAGCCACATTTCTTCCTCGAAGACGATGGATCCCCACTATTCTTCCAGTTTTTAATAATGTGTTGGACAGTTCTTAACCCAATTTTAGTAGTTTCTTCAATCTCCTTAGATGTTTTCTCTGCTTGATGCCAATGATTTGACCCTTCTTAACCAGACTGACATCTTTTCCATGACCACGCCATGTGTCTTTCAACATGGTTGTTTAAGAAATGAGAAGCAACTCTTTGCACCAGTTGGGGTTAAATATCTTGTTGCCAGCTGATAATCATCCATGCAGTAATTATCCAATAGGAGGCTCGTATATATTTGCTTAGTTAAGTCCAGGTGACAACTTTTTTTTTGGTCAGGCAGTGAACATACATACACAGTGTTTACCCTACCACTATTTTAGAACCTGTTTAGAACTTAATTGTTGGCATTTTTATATTCTCTCTTATTTTTATATGTTGTGATTCTTGTGTATGTTCCTTTGTTTTCGCCCTGTAAACAGAATCGAGCGCCTTGCATACTGAACTGCCCCCCCACATCAACAACTGACGGCACTGAAGCAATGCTAAGCTAGCCGAGCGCAATACAGATGCATTAGCTAAAAAGCTACAGACAGAGGTAGTGCACCATTTCCCTCACATTGATCCATCTCCTCCCTTCGTTGAAAACGAACTCGTTCTTTTGCGAGTTTTCAATATAAGATTGATCTCGACACACGATTTTCAACTTTAATATTACTCACGTGATTGAGATGGCAGGGGATAAAAAGTTACTGAAAAAATACAAACTTTTGACAGGTGCCACCATTTTGTAGTTTTCTTTCAATAAGCCTATACTGTAATGCCAGTCAAAAGAACTACAATTCCCAGAAGCCAACGGTGCTTCCAGTCTCTGTTTTCTGCCAAAATGGAGGGGAAGTTTTGCAACATAAAGTCAGAAGTAAGGATCCATCTATTCAGCTCACAGAACTGGCAGGAAAGTCACAAATAGTCCTGAAGCTCAATTATCCACGTGCACAACAACCTGGACAGGATGGTGGGCTTCGTCACGCTGTAGGATAGTTCTGCAGAACCAGAACCGAGCTGCTGCTCTGCAGAGCTGGTGAGTACCCATATAACATTTAGCAGTACTGTACGTACGCATGTTGTTCAAATTACATAGGTTTAGGAGTTCAGAACGTTGTTAAGAACAATGCACGAGGGTGGGAAATGTTTATAAAGCATTAAAATAATGTATAAATATTAAAATAAATATAGCGTTCCTACGTCGCAGTTTTTCATTTATCGCGGTGGTGTCTGGAACGTAACCCCAGCGATAATCGAGGGACTACTGCAGGGCTATGCAACTGCCAAATCAGGTCCACTGGTGAGCTCAGCTTGACCCACTAATGGGTTACTTTTTAAATAAAACTAGATTTTAAACTGTAAAACAAACTTACTTAATGACAACAGCTGCTGGATATATATATATATATATATATATACACACAGATTTATTTTAGAATGTTTTTTTATTTGAAACCCAAACATCTTGTTAAAAAAGCTGAAATAAATGGTCTGTGTCCAGCCTACCCATGTCATGGCGGGACCTTTTGGGTCCGTTACGGGCTCGTAGGCTTCGAGATCATTCCTCCTGACCTCTGCGGACATTGGCAGGCCGAGAGGATAACCCAGCATCACCGTGTCCGCCTGCTTCACCGGCTGACCTGTGTCAAACAAATGAAAGCGTCCTGATATCACTTGAATGCCTGATGTTCCTGTGTGGACTGGTGCCAACCAGAGAGGTCCAACATGAACCTTTAATGTAGCCGTCAAACTCAGGGTGGTACTGGGACTCCGGGTCAAAAGGGATCTTGATACGTTGGGCCACTTCTTGCCATTCTTTTGGCGCAGGATGTTGGAGGAGAGCTGCTAACTCCACAGCAAACTGCAAGCTAATAAAAGAGGAACGATTTGAGAAACTGGTCTTTACAAACAGCTGTGAACAAAAATACTGAAATACTCATCCCAACCTGAGTTTGGCCGCTGCGTTTGTGTACACTGAGTTGTTGATATTAGAGTAATATTCATCGGGTGGCATGACGCCTGTATGCAGAAAAAGTGAAGAAATATTCATTAGATATAAGACGAGCCACAAAATGAATCATCAACCACTGGAAACACTCAACAAGTAATAACTGCATGCACGTCTACAACTGCAAACATTTACAGGCAACTTCATGAAAGCTTTCTGCCACCCAGGCTAAAAATGTGATGTAGTAGTAGCTGAGGGTCATGCCCAATGTACACGCCGAGGACAATATCTTGCATGAGTTTATGCATTAATTTTTAAGGTTTGGTCAAAATGGCTTCAGCTTTGGCTGTTCTCATAATAAATGATCTTACTCTGGCATGAAAAGTGGCGAGCGACATGCAATCCTTCAGAAAACATCTTTAAATAGATACTAAACCTTCTAAATAAAATCACTTTCTTCTGAAATCAAATGGAAAGAAGTGACTTCAACAATAAACGAGTGGCAAAACATACAAATGTATTTTTTTGCTTCCATAACATTTCTTTTCTTCACATGACAGTTTTAACTTAGAACCTGCAGTCCATCCATCCATCCATCCATCCATCCATCCATCCATCCATCCATCCATCCATCCATCCATCCATCCATCCATCCATCATCTTTAACCACTTCTTCCTTTCTGGGTTGTGGGGGTCACTGTAGCCCATGTCCAGCAGTCACTGTGCGAGAGGTGGAGGACACTCTGGACAGGTCTCCAGTCCATCACAGAGACACATAGAGACAAATTAGACAAACAACCCTTCACTCTCTCACTCACACCTAGAGACAATTTAGAGTTATCAATTCGCCTAACATGCATGTTTTTGGTCTGTGGGAGGAAACCGGAGTATCTGGAGAAAATCCACTCATGCACAGAGAGAACATGCAAACTCCACCCAGAAAGAGTCAGAGTTTCTTTATTTGTCATACGCACCACATGTGGTACATGTGGTGGAACGAAATTGTGTACGCAGGGTCCCAGTTACATCCAACAATAAAATGTATAAGTAAAACCGTAATAAGATCTAAGATATGAACTAAGAAAAACATTAACTAAAAACACGCTAAGCACTAGTAGCATAAAAACAATACGTCAAACAGCGGCACGAACATGAGTCTGTGTGAGCAGATGAGGACGAATGAAAGGTTCTGGGCCGGGATTTGAACCAGGGCAACCTGCTTGCTGAGAGGCAACAGCTCTACCAACTGAACCACCATGTCATGATATCGATATTTTTTTAATAGAAAAATCAACTTTCCAAAGGAAATCTCTGCAGAGAGTGGTGAAGGCTGCACAGAAGACTGTTGGAGTCAGCCTCCCCACCATCACAGACATCTACACCTTCAGATGCAGGAAGAGGGCCACCTGCATCATGAAGGACCACACTCACCCAGCACACACACTTTGCCCCACTCCCCTCAGAGGCAGGAGGTTGAGGAGCATTAAGTGTAGAACCACTAGACTGAGGAACAGCTTCTACCCTGAGGCTGTTGGACTCATGAATCTCTAACTAGAATAATCACATCCCTCGAGAATGTTTATGGATCTCACCGGAGGACACTGGCTGAATATCCCATCCTTATCAGAACTCTTACAGTGTCCTCGAGAGCATCTATAAACATCGCTCACCGCTCTCGTCGTCCCCCTCTGCAGAATGTCTACGTCACTATGTGCTTGTTTGTGCCAGGTGTTTTTTAATATCAGAGTTTGTTCTTCTCAGGCAGGAAAAAAAAAAAGTCTGATAGGAAATTTTTTGCCTCCAATTCCTACGTGTCCAGTTTCACTACTTTTAGTCTGTCTAAACAGATCTCACTTGTAAATGAGTCTTCTAGGCTCAATGTGACTTCTCTGTCTAAATAAAGGTTGAATGAATGAATAAACTGTGAAAAGAAAATCACTGTAATGATACTTTAATTGGTGATATGTGCTGCTGATTATCTTATGCTGCTGTATTTATTCATAATTACCTACCTACTCACCACAGACTCATGTTCCGGCTGCTGTTGATATACCCTACAGTTTTACATTATTAGTGTTTAGCGTATATCTTAGTTCTTTAGTTTAGCGTTTGTTTAGCATATATCTTAGTATATATCATAGATCCTTATATGCTGTTTCGTTTTATACTTTATATTTTTGCTATTTTTGGGTGTAACTGGGACCTTGAGTACACAATTTCGTTCCACCTCATGTACAATGTGACGCGAATGACAACTTGAACTTTCATACCAACAGATGTTGGGGTGTAATAAGAAAGAACTTACATACATCCCTAATTCTGTACACCAGTCAAATTCAAATTCAAATTTAGTTCTTCAAGAATAAAATAATTTGAGAATTTTGACTTGAGTCAAAACTAATGTCATGATTTGTGTTCAAGTAAACATGACTTGTACTTTCTGAGGTTCGGCATTGTGAAAAAGCAACGACTGATATTTGATTGGGTATAAAAATGAGTATTTTTGTCATCACGACGTGCCATGTAAGTAAAATCACTTTTCAACAGCGGCCTTTACCTAAGATATGATACGTCTGGTCCTGGGGTTGCCATGTGACCCTGGAAATCCAGTAATCAGCCACCCCAAAGACCACCTCACTGCCTCTCCCCTCTGTGAACATGGACAGATCCTGCAACAAAGAGACGTTCTCATCTCAAACTCAGAACTTGTGACGGTGGAGCAGGGAGACGTGAGCGTACCTCAGTCAGGTAGAGATAGTGCTGGAACGCCAGCGTGACGTCCCCGTTGATGTGAATCTCTTGTTGTCCATAAACGTCGTCTGGACACACCTCTCTCCCCGACACAGCGCTCTCCCAGGGGAACTTCAGTCCCTGTAAAACCAGCAACAGAGACATTGTTCTGTTCTCACCCAAAATCTGTACCTGAGAATCTACAGAGATGAAAATGTATCACTGCAGCTGTTGTAGGAAATAATATTATTTAAAGCTAATAAAAGAGTTTTCACTGCTATTTTATTAATTTAACAATGCCTTTACTTTTAAGAGAACTAAAAATAATGAGGAAAAGGAAAGTAGCAAAGCTGCACAAACCGAAGCTTAATATCTGCAGATTTGACTAAGTTAAAGCCTTTTTTGTGCTGGATATGTTTGTTTCGCTGCGGCAGACGTTTTCAACGCAGTTGACTCCAAAGGTTAACCAGTTATAGACGTTCATGTAATGATTACTTTCTAACAGTCTCATTAAAATCCATCCAGTTATTTGTGAGATATTTTGCTAACAGACAAACATCGTTGGGTCCAACAGTTAATCTCCAAGTTTTGAGCCAAGATTTCATGCAATGGGAAGAGATCAGAGTACGAGTTAGGAATGACTATCAGCTACTACCACACAAATTTTAGTTCAATATCTGTAAAATCTTTAGCCAGTTTTGTGTTTGCTAAGATCATTTAGCTCCGTCCTTATGGTCATATCGACTCGAGTTGACTCCAAAAGTTAATCAGCTGTCGATGTGGATCTAATGAATACTTTCTATGAGTTTCATCAAAATGTGTCAAGTGGTTAACGAGACATTATGCTAACAGACAGACAAACACACATACCACCCTTTACTGTGATGTGTGAACGGTTATGAACCATTCATTCTATTGTGATCCATTTTTCTCCCGTACATTTTTCAGCATCTTTCTCGTTCCACAGTTTCTGTGCTACTTCAACAAATCATAAATCAAAACGTTCAGCTCTTTCAGGACAATCCTTCTATGACTTTTGGTATTGGTGCAACTTTAGCTTTTTGAATTATTTAGCCTTTTCTGCCACTTTTGTTCTCATAGAAAATAAATGGAGCTCATTTTACATCCTTCAAAAATCTTGAGATCTGTTTACAACCTTTTACTGCTCCTTTCACATTTTGTTCTGATCGAGCTTCTTTCAGCTTCCATGTGCAAAATTTAATTTTTTTTTCAGCTACTTTCAGATAATTTCAGCTGTTTTGTGCTCCTTTCAGATTCTTTCTGCTAACTACAACATTTTTGTGCTTCTTCTAACTTCTTTCTGATAATTTCAGCTTATTATGCTCCTTTCAGCTTATTTATGCGCGTTTCAGCTTTTTCCTGCTATTTCAGCTACTATTTTTTGTAGCTGTTAATGCTAATTAAAAAGTTAATACTAATTTTAGCTTTTTCAGTAATTCCACATTTTTTGCACTCATTTTAATTTTTTTCAGCCTAATTCAGCATAAATGTGCTCTCTCCCTTTTCTTTCAGTAATTTAAGCTTCTTTCTGCCTTTTTAGCTACTTTTCAGCTGTTTTTTGCTAATTTCTACATTTTCCGGATAATTTCCACTTCTTTGTGCTTATTTCTGCTTCTTTAAGCCTAATTGGGCAAACATGTTCTTTCTGCTTTCTTCTGCTAATTCAAACTTGTTCTACCTGTTCAGCTACGTTTTTAGCTAATTTCAGCTGTTTTCAGATAAACTCAAGTTTTTGTAGTAATTTCTGCTACTTTCATCCTAAATAACTTCTTTATGATCCTTTCAGCTTATTTCAACTAGTTTCAGCATTTTTTGTTCTTTCAGCTACTATTTAGCTCTTTTGATGCTAATTTTAGCTTTCCAGCTAATTCCACTTTTTTATTTTTATTTTTTAGCTCATTCAGTTCTTATTGTTTCCTTCTTATAGTTTCAGCTTCTTTCTGCTTTTTCAGCTACTTTTCACTTATGTTTTGCTAATTTAAGCTTTTTTTAAGCTAATTTCCTAATTGTTGTGCTCATTTCTGCTTATTTAAACCTAATTCAGCAGATTTGTGTTCTTTCTGTTTTCTTCTGCTAATTTAGGCTTGTTCTTCCATTTTAGTTATATTTCAGAATTTATTTTTTATTTTTTAGCTAATTTCAGCTGTTTTTCAGCAAGTTCTTCTGCAATAAGCATTCACACTGCGTTTTTGCAGGAAATGAATTTCTCTCGTTATTATTCTCATCCCTTTGCTTTCGGAGCAGGCAACAATTCACTGAATGTCGTACCATGTAGCCTTGCTTTCGGGCGTTGTCTCTTGCACCATCTGCAGTCCCCACTCTGTACTCCAGCACGGCTCGGGCCAGCTTGGGGTAGAACAACGCTATCCCGGGATACATCCAGATGTCCTGCATCAAGAAGTCTTTGTGTAATATTTGTAACAAGAAATAACACGCTCACATGAGCTCCCAGTAGACCCACCTGATCCCAGAACACATGGCCCCAGTAATCCTGACCGTCCCCTCCATTAGAGAGCCCGCCTGGACTGATGCCTCCAAACGAGCTGGAGGTGTCGTGGATGGAAGGGCAAGCGCTGAGAAGGTAGAATAAGCAGCCGATCAGGGCCTTGCACAGGCTCTCGGAGCCAGTCACCTCCACCTGGCTCTGCAGCCACAGCTCTTTCCAGGCCTTTTCATGAGACGGACGCAGGTCGCCGGTCGCCATCAGCCTCAAGCCCTCGTCGTAAAAAGCCTCTGCAGCATCCAAGCTGTTGGCCACAACCAGGATGAAACCCCAGCGAGCCTGGGGCTGCTTAGGGAGCAGCGTCACAGTGGGGGGTACAGGGGTCCAGATGAGATGCACTGTGGGGCAGGAGCCTCCTGGGAATTCAGCCGTGGTGGTCTGTCCTTGAATATGTCTGAGAGCACAGGTGGGATGGTGTTAAAAGTGTTTGTATCCCCAATTCTGAAAAGTTGAGACGTTGTGCAAAAGGTAAAGATTGCAATGATTTACAAATCTCATAAATCCCTTTTTATCCACAGTGGGACATGAAACCATCTTAACTGTACCATTCTCTGAAAAACAAAGGTAGTTTTGAATTTAATGACAGCAACACATCTAAAAAAGGACAGGGCAGGGGCAACAAAGGGCTATAAAAGTAAGTGGTACAAATGAGAACAGCTGGAGAAATATTTCGCAACAAATCAGGTGAACTGGCAACAGGTCATAAAAAAGAGCATTTTGGAGAAGCTCCTGTGAAGGTGTGAAAAGTAAAGATGGGCGGACCCTTGGTGCTCATGATCTTCAGGCACTCGGGTGACGCAGCATCCAAAGCAGGTTTGGTTCTGTTCTGGACAAAACTGCACGGGTTCAGGAACACGACCACAAATCACTGTCTGAAAACACAGCTTGCTGTGCCACCCACAAACGCTGCTTAAAGCTCTATCATACAAAGATGAGCTGAGAAACGCCACTCAGAGGCGCCACAGTCTCCTCTGAGCTAACGCTCTTTTAAAATGGACTGAGACAAAGAGGAGAAGTCTTCTGTGGTCAGACAATCTGAACTTTGAAATTCTCATTGGGAACCACAGACACCACATACTACGTACTAAAGCCTATTATCAGCACACTGTTCAAAAGGCTGTTTCTCTGATGGTATGGAGGTGCATAAGTGTATATGGCATAGGCAGTTTACTCATCTGGAAAGGCACAATCAATGCAGAAAAGAATAAACTGGATTTGTACAGTATGCTCCCACTCAGATGACGTCTTCTTACATTATACTGCTTCTACTACAACAGCATGACTTCACAGGAGAAAAGTCCAGGTGCTGAAAGGACCTGCCTGCAGTCCAGACCTCTCACCAATGAAATAATAAATCCACCATTGAAGACCAAAGACTGCTGAACGGTTAGAATGAGGGGTGCACCGATTGCAGTTTTCACAGATCTCTAAATAGCCTGACCTGCTGATTCTGATTTTGTTTTATAAGCGACACTGTCAGGTATAAGGTCACAATGCACCTTCAATTTTCCAATATTATTTTACTGGAAAACACACTCTTGAACAAAATCCTGGAAACAATACAAACTTGTTTTAACTGGACATGAGGTAGTGCTCTGAAATATAAATGAAGTTCAGACAATTGTTGCTAAAACAAATAAAAAAAAAAAAAGGTAAAATCTGTTTCTCATGTAAGTATCGGCCGATCTCACAAAATAAATAAATAAATAAATAAATTGGCCAGCCGATTTATGGGTGCAGCCCTAGTTAGAATCCAGCATGGGACAAGAACAGGACCCTCTCCCCCTCCAAACCCCCCAGCAGCTCTTCTCCTCTAGACGTTCAGACTGTTTTTAACAGAAGGCGGGATGCTCCAGTGGTAAATGTACTTTTTTTTACGTGTTGCTGCCATTGTTTTTTTTAAAGGTGCAGTTTCTTAGTTTAGCTATTTGATGTTTACTATGTTGCATTAAGTGTGAGATTAACAAATAAGAAAATAATTCTGTTTTTATTAACATTTTGCACAATGTTCTAACTTTTTCTTACTTTCTTGGAATTAAGGTTGTACTTGTAGCATTATTCCCCACCCAAAAAAACATTCAACCTCACCTTGCGCCCTTGTAGTCAGGACCACACTCAAAAACAATATCTTTGCTCTGAGGAGTGAAGGAACTGTCCAGATGAACTGTGACTGGCTCTGCTGAGGTCACCTGACGTGCCAGCAGGACCTCCATCACCATGATGTTGGGGTAGAACCGGTGAGAGTACAACGACTGTGAGATGTTTACACTGGCTGAGGTTAGAGTGTGCGTGAAAATGCCTGTAAATTATGAAAAAGATAAACGTATAAAAACACCATGAAATGGTGAAATGGTGTCACCTGCTCTGTAGAAACTACCTGTGTGGGTGTCCAAAGTGTAGCTATGTTGGGCAGGGTCTTCTGTCTCCACCTTCACAGCTAGAGGACAGGGGACATCAGCTCTGTGGCAATGTCCCCCCTCCCCGTTGTAAACACCACCCATGTGCATGATATCGTTGTACACCCTCCAGCCCAGCAGCCCATTCGCCAGGGGTGGGAGGAAGCGGGGGTCATTGGGGAGACTGTTGGAGGTGAAGATGTAAGGGTCCAAGTCTTGGGACATAATCAGGTGCCGTTTGGGTGTAAATGTTGCAGAAGATCTTCACCTAAATGAAAATTATTGTCTTTACAGGACGTAAAACTTTGTGTTCAGGTCACAAAAACAGAGGAAGTCGTCACATTATCCCTGGAAAACATTTTCCCAGCTCCTATCAGAAAAGGACGCACGTGGAAGGTGGACTTTGACACTTTTCTGTCACAAGACGTGTCCAAATGTAACCTTAGAGATAGTTCAAACCAGTTGAAGTGAGGTTCTGTGGAAAAGTGGGCAACAATAAATATCTTACCTGTTGTAGATGTCTCTTTGAATGGCTTCAGCTTGGAAAAATAAAGTTAAATTCTGACGGGAGTCGTGAGCTAACAGAACATGGTGGATTGCTGCCGTCTTCAAACAACTCCAGTCTAAAACACCACAGTTAGGCTTGTCATGATAAAACAACTTTGATGGGCGATTAATTGTCTCGGAATTTTTTTTGTTTTTTCTTCATTCACCCTGTAGTTATACAGGTCGTCTCATTGAGCCACGAGAACTCATTTTCAAGAGAGACCTGTTTAGGGAGCACATGGTGGGGGTTAAGGGCCTTGCTCATGGGCCCAGAGTGGGGCGAATGAGGGTGGGGGCAAGTGTGGGTGTTTCACCTGCCCCACCCACAATTTTGATGTTGTCGGGGCCGGGGCGTGAACCAGCGACCTTCGGATCACAGGCCCACCTCTCTAACCTCTGCGCCACCACTCCCCTGATTCAACCACTCAAATGATTGCAATAAACGATAATATTGTTCGACATTTGACAATAATTAGTAGTTATTGTCAATTAGTAATTTGCAATTATTGTCAAATTTAAGGAGAAATGTTAATTTGTTTTGACTGTATTACCTTTTTTTGACCACCGGATGGCAGTACAAGAACTGAAGGATGGATAGTGAGGGAGTAGCGGCGTGTCTCTTTAAGACCAATGGGAGGGAGGCCCCTTGACGTGGCATGGGCTGTCTCTCCTTCCTTGTTTTTGTTTCTCAAAATGGAGGATGCTTGGTTTGAGCTCTTTAGCATAGCAATTTTCACACAAAGCTTTTAATAAAAAATCAGTAAACAAGTTCTCAGCTTGTTTTTGCAGAGAAAAACAACTTTTTTCACGAAGGCACGGGTTTCAACCGTGAATTTTGGAACTTCGACAAAACAGAGCCCCCCCCCCCCACCCCGAGATCGGACTGTTAGCTTAGCTTCTCAGCTTAGCTGCTTTAATCGTCCAAAAACTCAATTTTGGACGATTAAAATGGATTTTAAAGAGAAAGGGAGGGGTCAGTGAAGAGATCAGGAGTTGAGCCTTTTGTCATCCAGTGTCTTCAGTAGAAAGAGAGAGACACGAAGAAACGATAAAGCTGATAAATATATGATAAACGAGGTCGATAATTTTAATTTATCATGCGATTACTGGTAAATGATTTATTGTTTATTGCGACAAGCCTAGTGAAAGTTATTTATAAACCTCTGCATCACTGTCAGCTTCACATTAAACAGCTTTTACATTAAATTTATGGTTATCTTCATGTACATGTTACCATAAAGTACCTGTATCCAGCTGTAGCAGTTTCATCCAAACTTCAAGAAGATCAGATACTGCAGACAAAACAATCATGTAAAGCAAAAAAATCAGGTTTATGTTAGTTTGCATTAATTACTAATTTTGTTTTGGTTTAGAGTTCTTCTAAAGCATCAACAATCTTGTGTTTGTTTCCCACTTGGATTAGCTCAGGGCTCTGCAACCTGTGGCTCTGGGGCCACATGCGGCTCTTTGGTCCTCGGTCTGCGGCTCCTTGAAGCTTTGACCAAACACAATGCAAAATGTTCATTCATTAGTTTTTATACACACAGTAAAGAGAAATGGAAAGTTTTAGCACGTTTGCTACAAACATTTAAAAGAAATGACCAAAACAAGGAGAAAATAATGTTGATTAGCATTAGCTACATCATTTAGCTAGCTTCCTGCCTTACAGTAGGATGTTTCTCTGAAATTATTTGAAGAAATATGATGAATAATTAATAGATAGATAGACCTAATTACATTTAAAGTAAATAAACAAGCTGTTTATAAATTAAAAATTTAATGTCACCTTTACATATCCAACAAAAAGACCTAATATTTAGACACACTTTAAATTTATGCTTTATTACTTTAAAGTGGGATTCAAAAATATTTTTATTTTTCTCAAATTAAAAGGAAGACTCACAGAAATCTGCAGTTTTATTTTTTTATTTGGGGGGGGGGGGGGGGTAAAATTTGTATGAAATATGTATTTCTTTCTTGTTTACATGGGTGTGGTCTTTTCTTTGGCCCTAAAATGTAAAATTATTAATAAATGTTAGAATTCATTATATAATTTTTGTTTTATAAAGTCTCCCCCACTGGCTGGATAAAACATCCAAATTTGAAGTGGCCCATGAGTTGATAGTGACCATTGTAGCAGGTTTTGCGGCTTCAGACACATTTTGTTTTGTAAATGAAAGGTAGAAATGGCTCTTTTGATCTAAAAGGTTGCAGGCCCCTGGATTAGCTCGTCAATCTGGTTGGATTACATGGACTCTGACGTGCCAAATATTCCCAAACTGTGGCATCGGTCTATGATAAACCCTTTTCTGTTATTTTTATATGAAAAAATAAACTTCTTATTTATTTCTTCTTCATTATTCATACCAGTATTTGAATACAAAGATGCTCAAGGGTCTTTGGAGCATAACATACCACAGAGCCCCACTTCAAAATATCTGAACTACCCCTTTAAGATGCTGATTTAAACAAGGGATAAACAAACTGAATGTATTTGTTATATCTGGAATAGTAAATTAGTTTGACAACATTATTACAAGTTCAGACACAGCAGAGTTTCTGTCAGTTCTCTGAAACTGATGTTTCAGCCTCACATCAACATCTGCCTCTGCAGAAGAGGAATGCAGGTTTAAAAAAAGAGAAAGTGCAAACTCAACCTGTAGGAGCCTCAAACCAGCTTGTCTTTACAGTTTAACTCGAAGAAAACCAACCCACGTGCTCTGATCTTATGTCTTTTAAGAGTAAAAGCTCAGCAGTTGTTCAGACTGGGTCCAAGTTGTGTGTCGTTTGTCTGCAGCAGGAGAGGAGAGGAGGCCTGAGCTCTTTGTGCTGCACAGAAACTCTGGACTGTGAGATCTGTGAGAAAACCTGGCATGGACTTCATGTGCAGGAGAGGGTGAGGTCTGTTGGGAGTCAGCAGACAGGAAGCAAAGCTCAGATTGTGTCATGTAATCTGCATCTTTCATACCAGCAAGTATTTAACTTCTTTTAAACCTGGACCTTCAGCCAATCTCCAGACAACAAGCTGCAGGACAGCATGACCACCGAGGCAGAAAAATCCTCTCAGCTCAGTCACTGTTTATGTCATCACCGTTAAGAACAAGCACTTCAGTTTTATTGGTGAGGCTCATACTGGATTTATTGGACGATGCTTTTCTGTTACAGTATTTTTTTTAAATGTTCGGTCAAACGTGTTTCTGATGCCCAAGTTTTCTATATTCTGACAAGTCCAGTCTGAGAGGGTCATCATTGTTATGGTTTTACATCTCACCAAGTCACAGACTGCATTTGGGACATTTTCAAAACGTATTACTGGCCTCAAAAATTACATTTTATTTAGGTATTCTCACTGCTAGTTTAGGGATTTCAGAACAGCCAAGTACTGAAAAATGAATGATGGAAATTTCCAAATGATTCTTTAAACCAGACGTGGACAACTTAAGGCCCGAGGGCCAAAAGTGGCCCTTGGACAATCTCCATCAGGCCCCCCAATATCCTTAGTTCAAAAGAAAAACAACAAAAAGACTGATTAACAAAACAACAATTTATCAATGAGACTTATAGAAATTTAAACATCTTACTCAAAACCTTTTTAAAAACCTTTTTTAATTCTGTTTCCAGAATTGAACCTTAAAAACCACAAATATACGTTTGTTTCACACATTCCATGTTAAGCTAATGTGTATAATGTTGTCACAAGAGCCAGTTTTCATGTCTCATATTCCTAAAGGATTTTGGAAAGCCATGTTTTTAGAAATCATGCTAAATATGCGACAGCAAGAAAAAGTCTTAGATTATTTGGCGTATGAAAATTTATTATCCAATTCTCTCTGTGGCCCTTTGATTTCTTTATACGTGTTGATGTGTCCCTTCGGAAATATACGTTGCCCCCCTCTGCTTTAAACCAAAAGCAGGATGTCCAAACACATATGGTGCTTTCTGTTGTTAGGGAAATAACTAAACTACTGACGCTTCAAGCAGTACCTCACTGTCTGGATTGGTTTTCTTCATCCTACAAAGACAGCTGTGAAAAGTGTAGAACATCCAGACTCGTTTCAGCAGCTGGACCTCTTGGTGGCACCAAGGAGCCGCTGGAGCAGCATCTGGCACCATGCCGGGGGTCAGAGTCACAAACCCTGGGAAAAGCAGCTCTTTCTCCATATAAGGTTGCAATCCATCCGCTTCCCTCTTCCTCCCCTGCTCCTTTCTCAGACCTGAGGGATATTTAGAGAGAGAGAACAGAGCCTCGGCCGGCCTGTCCTTCCTTATTAGGAGCTCAGCTCGTCAGTCAGGACGGTCTCTGCTCCTCCAAAGGGACAAACAGATGGAGAACTTGTGTTAACCAAGTGCCAGAACCACAGCAGGGTCTGACGCAGCGTTGCCCCCAAACGTCTGAGGGCTTCATCCAGCACCTCACTGATCCCGTTCACCTGGGAGCAAGAGATTGACAGAACAGTGCAGACATCCAGTCTGTTGGAGGACTAATGTTGCAGCTGTTGTCTTTTCTGATGGAGAACATCTGGCCACCAGCACAGGAACAACTGACCCTTTCTGTGGATGATGGAGCACGACAGCTCGATGTCTAATAAACAAGATGCTCTTCTGATGGAAACGACTCTCAAACTGCTGCTGGGTGCAGATAAACAAGAGGCTGCAACAACTTGATTTATTAGGGTGCAAACATTCATTTAATATATTAGAAAACCAACATGTGAAGCAAAGCTACACTTTCGTTTTTACTTCAAAGAGAGTATTAAAGACTAACATTTAAATCCCAAACCATGCTTCTTTATAAGACAATAAAAAACTATGAAATAATCTTTTCCAATGGCAACAATAAAACCCATTTGTAGCCTGATGGGTCAGGACAGAAAACCTTTGAGCTTCAGCCAAACCCCAGAAAGGAGCAGGCCCGAGAAGATGCTGCTCTGGACGTAAAGGTTGTCTTTCTGGAGGACGGGAGAAGCTCACAGATGTTTAATAACTTTGCAAAGAGTAAAGTGCTGCGGTCGACTGACCGGGATCTTTTTTATAAGAGCATGGAGTTATGTCTGTGATCGCAAAAACAAACAAGGCGTGGGGACGTGCATAGGTGGAGAGGTAGGTGGGTTCAAACACTGAACATGTGAATAAATCAACCCCACAGAGCTTCATGGACTTCCCCTGCCGTCAGGACGAGTATAAAGGCAGCAACGTGCTTCAATGACAAACACTCTAAAAACATTTGGACTGTGTGTGGAAACTTTGTGAATGTGTTCACAAAAATAAATACAAAGTGGGAGCTTTAAGACCCCATCTATCATGTGTGCTAAGTGGAATATGAACAAAGATGCATGAATGCACTCATGGAGACTGTGCACGTCGATGTCCCACGACACACAGTCACTGGGTTTGTTGCCTCTGTGGAAACCTTTGAGCAAAGCCGCAGGTTCTACTCCGACAACTGAAGGCACAACGAAGATCTGCATGTGTTCATATGGAGGCGTCACAACCCAGCTCAGACTGTAGTGCTCTCCCCCTCTCACTCTTTGGCACTGGGAGGAATGTATGGAAGAAGGGGGGCGGAGTGGTGGATGGATGAATAGATGAAGGGCGAGAGGGGATTCCCTGGAAGTTGTGTCTCTCGACCTATTTGGAGAGTTTGCTGATGACTCGGATCAGAGCACCATTTTCATCTTTCAGACGCTGGTTGTCTGCTCTCAGGTCCACCAGAACCTGGAGGAACAAGTCAAAGCTCAAATTAAATCATTTTATCTTGAACTTGTTGTACATTTTAAAGTAACTATCTGATGACAACGTTCACAGGAGGCAGTGACGGTAAAAAAGGTACTCTGTTACTGGGCTGCGACTGTTTGAGACCAGTAGGTGACTCAGTATTATGAGAAAATTGGATACATTTCCATCATTGTTGAACTCAGAATGTGACCAGGGAGCCGTGTGGCCACATTTGAAACAACTAGTTTATGTGCACGTCTTGCTAAACCATGTTCTAGGCTGCACGCATTATTTGTTGTCTTTGTAAGCTGCTGCCACAATTCTGATTCCATCCACTGGAGTTCATGTTTCTGAAGCATTCACTTTACTGCGATCCATTTTTCTTCCATACGTTTTTCAGCATCTTTCTTGCTCCACAATTTTTGTTCCATTTCAACAAATCAAGTATCGAAATGTTCAGCTCTTTCAGAACAATCCTGCTATGACTTTTGGTATTGGTGCAACTTTAGCTTTTTGAAATACAGGTCCTTTTCAAAAAATTAGCATATTGTGATAAAGGTCATTATTTTCCATAATGTAATGATAAAAATGAAACTTTCATATATTTCAGATTCATTACACACCAACTGAAATATTTCAGGTCTTTAATTGTTTTAATACTGATGATTATGGCATACAGCTCATGAAAACCCAAAATGCCTGTCCCAAAAAATTAGCATATCATGAAAAGGTTCTCTAAACAAGCTATTAACCTAACCATCTGAATCAACGACGTAACTCTAAACACCTGCAAAAGATTCCTGAGGCTTTTAAAAACTCCCAGCCTTGTTCATTACTCAAAACCACAATCATGGGTAAGACTGCCGACCTGACTGCTGTCCAGAAGGCCATCATTGACACCCTCAAGCAAGAGGGTAAGACACAGAAAGAAATTGCTGAACGAATAGGCTGTTCCCAGAGTGCTGTATCAAGGCACCTCAGTGGGAAGTCTGTGGGAAGGGAAAAGTGTGGCAGAAAACGCTGCACAACGAGAAGAGGTGACCGGACCCTGAGGAGGATTGTGGAGAAGGGCCGATTCCAGACCTTGGGGGACCTGCGGAAGCAGTGGACTGAGTCTGGAGTAGAAACATCCAGAGCCACCGTGCACAGGCGTGTGCAGGAAATGGGCTACAGGTGCCGCATTCCCCAGGTCAAGACACTTTTGAACCAGAAACAGAAGTGCCTGACCTGGGCTACAGAGAAGCAGCACTGGACTGTTGCTCAGTGGTCCAAAGTACTTTTTTCGGATGAAAGCAAATTTTGCATGTCATTCAGAAATCAAGGTGCCAGAGTCTGGAGGAAGACTGGGGGGGAAGGAAATGCCAAAACGCCAGAAGTCCAGTGTGAAGCACCCACAGTCAGTGATGGTCTGGGGTGCCATGTCAGCTGCTGGTCTTAGTCCACTGTGTTTTATCAAGGGCAGAGTCAATGCAGCTAGCTACCAGGAGATTTTGGAGCACTTAATGCTTCCATCTGCTGAAAAGCTTTATGGAGATGAAGATTTCATTTTTCAGCACGACCTGGCACCTGCTCACAGTGCCAAAACTACTGGTAACTGGTTTACTGACCATGGTATTACTGTGCTCAATTGGCCTGCCAACTCTCCTGACCTGAACCCCATAGAGAACCTGTGGGATATTGTGAAGAGAAAGTTGAGAGACGCAAGACCCAACACTCTGGATGAGCTTAAGGCCGCTATCGAAGCATCCTGGGCCTCCATAACACCTCAGCAGTGCCACAGGCTGATTGCCTCCATGCCACGCCGCATTGAAGCAGTCATTCATGCAAAAGGATTCCCGACCAAGTATTGAGTGCATAACTGAACATGATTATTTGAAGGTTGGTGTTTTTTGTACTAAAAACACTTGTCTTTCATTGGTGGGATGAAATATGCTAATTTTTTGGGACAGGCATTTTGTGTTTTCATGAGCTGTATGCCATAATCATCAGTATTAAAACAATTAAAGACCTGAAATATTTCAGTTGGTGTGCAATGAATCTGAAATATATGAAAGTTTAATTTTTATAATAATAATAATGTCATCACAATGTCAGCACTGTATGTTTCCATACAATGGCGAAATTAGTCTCTGCATTTAACCCATCCACCACCAGGTGGTGCAGTGGGCAGCTATTGAAAGCGCCAGGGGGACATTTTGGGGATTAGACGTGCTGCCCAGAGACACCACGTGATGTGCAGTGACTGGGGATCGAACCTGGGACTCTCGGGTCCCAAGCTGGCTGCCCTGCCTCTACACCATCTCGGCCCCTTATATCATTACATTATGGAAAATAATGACCTTTATCACAATATGCTAATTTTTTTAGAAGGACCTGTATTTAGCCTTTTCTGCCATTTTACATCCTTCAAATCTTTAGCTCTGTTTACAACCTTTTATTGCTCCTTTCACTTTTTGTTCTGCTTCAGCTTCTTTCTGCAAATTTAAAACTTTTTTCCAGCAAATTTCAGTGTTCTTCTGCTCCTTTTACGTTCTTCCTTTTAACTACATTTTTGTGCTTCTTTTAACTTCTTTCTGCTAATTTTTCAGCTTGTTATGATCCTTTAGCTTATTTATGCAAGTTTCAGCTTTTTCTGTCATTTCAGCTACTATTTAGTGGTTTATGCTAATTTTAGCTTTTCCAGCTAATTCCACATTTTTTGCACTCATTTAAACATTTTTCAGCCTAATTCAGCAAAAAGTGGACTTGCCACTTCGTTCTGGTAATTTAACCTTCTGCCTTTTTAGCTAATTTTCAGCTGTTTTTTGCTCATTTCAGCTTTTTTCAAATAATTTCCACTTTTTTGTGCTCAATTCTGCTTCTTTCAGCAAACATGTTCCTTATTATGTTAATTTAAGCTTGTTCTACCCTTTCAGTTACTTTACCATTTTTTTGGGGCTAATTTTAGCTGTTTTCAGATAAATTCAAGTTTTTTGTGGTAATTTCTGCTACTTTTTTCAGCCTAATTTACTAATTTCTGCTGATTTCAGCTTGTTATGCTTCTTTCAGCTTCTTTCCTTTATTTTCAGTTTTTTCAACTAGTAGCCATTTCAGCTGATATTTAGCCATTTGTGCTAAATGTAGCTTTTTCAGCTAATTCCACATTTTTTTTTAGCTAATTTCAGCTTGTTCCTCTTCCTTCTGGTAGTTTCAGCTTCTTTCTGCCTTTTCATTTATTTTTCAGCTTTTTTGTTAATTTCAGCTTTTAGCCAATTTCTTAATTTTTGTGCTCACTGCTGCTTATTTGAACCTACCGTGATTCAGCAACTATGTTTTTCTGCTTTCTTCTGCTAATTAGGCTTGTTCTTCCATTCCAGCGCTACATTTCACCAGATTTTTAGCTAACTACAGCTGTTTTTTTAACAAGTTCTTCAGTAATAAGCATTCACACTGCATTTTCGCAGGAAATGCAATTTGTCTAGTTTAAATTAGAGACAGACCAGTTTAATATTTATCATTGTCATCTCGTAGACCCGGACAAGGTTTTTTGTCTGAGGAGAGCTCCTGTGCAGTTGTGGGGGAAAACAAAACCAAAACATAAATAAATAAATAAAACACCCACAACAAAGTGGCTACTTTGAGAAAAACTGGTGCAAGTTTAACAGGTTCAAATTTCAAGCAACATTATTGTGCGTAAAAAGAAAAGACATAACCACATGGATTAGTCAAACATTAGCATAAAATAAAGTAGCGGTTTTAATAACATTTAAAATAAAGTTAAAAGTTAGCAACAGAAAAAGCTGAACACAACATTATGTTGAGTTATTTTAAATCAAAAGGTCAGTGATGTTTTACTGCAATATGCAGACATTATTGAAATGCCACAAGTTATTAATGTGCAAATATTTGTCTGAAACGTAGACAAATACATTACACTTTATGGGTAAACTAAACTTTTCTTCACTCCCTCTACAGAGGATCAAAGTTTCATGAACCAAACGTGTTTTTTCTTTATTTACCATTTTAAAGCAGTTATTAGTATAAAACCACAACACAAAAATCTAATTTCCATTACATTTAAATAGAAATCTGAAAGACTTCCTTTAATGGATATTTTATAAACCAGAATAAGTGCATTTACTAAACTGGATCATTTAATTATAGTACGAAATGTGCATGTAAAGCATTTTGTTGCAGGAAATTAAAGATTTGATTGCATTTGTTAATATATTGAAAAAGTTCCAGGGTTAAAGTCCCTGAATCTAATCTGACACAGAATCCATCCTCAGTATATGAAGCAACTGTCCTTTAAGCCCTTTGAAGAGAAATCTTTAAACTCTTTGGAGGTTGTGCTGCTGATTGGGGGGGGGGGGGGGGGCAGTGTTTTAAAAGCTAAAAAACTGTAAATATATCAATTAAATGTCACAAAACAACTTGAGAACGGGAGGAACAGCCAACGTGGCTCAAACATGCAGCAATTTCTGTTTGCAGATAGTCACTACATTCAACTACAGAAACTCTGAAACCCCCCCACAAAAAATAAATACGGTAAATAAAAAACAAAAAAAGCTAATAAGAGGTCTAGTGCTTAAGATAAGCAGAGTCTTGCAGCTGCAGAGAAGCTGAACTGGAATTGATCGTTACCTGAGCTGCAGTTTATCAACATCTTGTTTGTTAAGACCAAGTACAAAAAGTTAATTTACCAGCGAGTTATGAAATTAAATCTTGGCAGGGAACCAGAGAAGACTCCAGGAAATCACAGAATGACGTTTAATTTCTTTATATACAGTGCATCAGATTAAACAGAATCTTTTTTTTTTTTATCTAAATATATATAAATAAACAAACACTTTCATAGCTCACCTAGCCATTTTTCATACCTGAAAATGTACAAAAACAAACAGGTTTCAGTCAGTGCTAACATCTCAGAGCGTTGCTGCCTCTCAGCTGAAACTGCACGAGTCAAATCACCACCTGAGCACGTTGACAAACTCACTGCTGTGTTCCCATCATGGCTGCACGAGCATAAAGCCAAGCCACTAAAGCACACACATGCACAGTGTCGGTGCTCACCATAAAAATCTGTCTGAAGCACCCCCCCCCCCCCCCACACACACACACACCACCTCACCTTCAGCTCCTCCTCCAACTCTGCCATGCGCCGCTCCAACATCCGCCGGTCCTGGAAACGGCAGAGGAAGAGGCCGGGGGGGGGGGGGGGGTTGACGAAGAGAAGAAGCACAGACAGTTGAGTGAAAACGAGTGAGGAAGTGGTTCAAGTGGTTGGAGAGGAGGAAACGTGTGAGACAGCAGGGGTGGCAGTAGTGAGGCGCACAAAGCTGCACACAGAAAAACACCCCAAACAAATGTTCAACGCTCCGTGTCAGCAGGTTACCTTCCGCTCCAGCTCCAACAGGGCTGAACAGTCACTGAGGCGCTCCTGTCTCTGTTGGACGAGAAATCTGTTTAGGCAACCACATGAAGGTCTGCATGCCCAACGGACAAAATGAGTCTTCACCTGCGTTGCCTTCTCCAGCTCCACTCGGGTCTGACTGACGACCCTCTGAGTGTCCTGCAGCTGGGCCTGGAGCTGGCTGTTCTCTCTGGACACCTCCTCAAACAACTGACAGACACGCACAACGAATGATGGAGAGATCCCAACAAAAGCATGGTGTCACTTTCATTCTGTCTGCTGAGTCTGACCTTCTTGAAGTCTTTCGTGTCCAATCCTCCTGCCTGGGTGCGGTCGTTACAAGACATGTCCAACCTGAGTGGATGGACAGAGCAGAAGTAAGACGGACAACGAAGACAAAAGGTTAAACGCAAGCAGACTCAAATCGAGGCTCTACCTGGAACTTGTGCGTTGGTCTTTCTGTGTGCAAAAGAGAACAAGTTGTTTATGCCATCTCTCTGCAGACAAATACCAAAATAAGAGCACAGACTTCTTCGTCACTACCTGTGGATCCAGCCCACTCCCTGAGAACTCTTCCTCTCCATCATTATCATCATCCTGGAGATGAGGGACAGTCAATAATAAAATCAAACTGCAGCTGCTCTTCTTGCATGTCATTTACAGTAGTCCCTCGCTACTTCGCGGTTCGTTTATCATGGACTCGCTCTATCACGGTTTTTCAAAATAAGACTAGACATGACACATTTGGCTGATTGATGGATGAGCTGCACGATCGGCATAGAATTTTTATTTAAAATAAATTATTTCAAATTATTCAGCACCTGCTGCACCTTTGTGCAGCCCACACTGCAGGATAAACTTCCTGCAGCAGCTGATCAGCTGTTGTCCGTGCAGAGCTGAGAAGTGGGCGTGGCCAAGAGTGCTTGCAGGTGGCTGAGAGCAGCAGAGGCAGAGAGCTGAGATCATGACATGCTGTGCTCTTTTAGAGCGTTTAGAAACATTGTTTAGAATATTGCAAGAGGGTGGGAAGGGTTTAAAATGCCATGCATGTAGTATGCATATATACATACACATATACACATACATACATATACACATACATATATATATACATATACACATACATATATATATACATATATACACATATATATATACACATATATATATACATATATATATATACATATATATATATACACACATATATATATACATATATATATATACATATATATATATACATATATATATATACATATATATATATACATATA